CTATTTTTTGTGAATGTAGAGTACAACTCTTGAACGAAAAACAACTCGACGTACGAAATAACAGAATTGTTTATTGGAAAAATAAGAATTAGCAGCATGAAAAATTTTCAATGCAGAAAAACAATGTTTGTTTCTTCTATATTTACAGAGGATTATTTAAGCACCTACTCATGAAATTCAGAAAAGGAGAAATCGGGCACGTTAGTTATGTATTGAGAAAAATGATCACATAACACGAAAGTTGTAGTGTTCTAGTATCAACATGAAAAGGCCGTGTACTATAAAACTGTACATAGATAAAAATTATATATTGTGGTAAATGGTGTGCTTTTGTAACCAAAATAAATCGAGAGCATTATTCGAGTTTGAATGCTCTAAACAGACTATATCAAGAAAAAAGAGATGATTCCAAACGTGACTACGATTAGGCTTGGGTAAATGACTAACACGATTAGCTTTAGAGTAAGAGACAAAACTGATGTGTACACGTTGCATAAACCATTTGTGGAAATTCGTTTGAGAAACGGAAAAAATTGAAACCCTCTCCCCCATTAGGCCAAACTTAAAAAGATTATTAGTGTGTGTCATTAAATGTAATTGTAAGTTACACTCTAATCCATATCTTGAACGAAATACATGTAGTTGTAAAACTGTATACATTCAGTGACTAGTAACTGATTTGTACTGGTTTCGATGCTCCAGAGCTATGAGAACGATAGGAAAAGATCCAAACAATGATAAAAAACAACTGCTACGATATTACTGTATTTATACACTAAAAGGAATAATGTTAACAATGATAAAATCCTAAAGACGGGGAACTAAAAGATATACATACATAAGTAGACGAAATTACGTCATAATAACAATAGATAACAATGAATATAATTGATGTAAAAGCACCAATAAAAGTGATTGAAGTACCAATAGTATCTAGGTGCTACTAACAAAGGACACCCATTCAACTGTAAGAGAAAAATACGAATTTATGAAGAAATTGACTAAATAGAAAAACAAACATGGAGTACTTCACTACAGTAAAAGTACGTATAATTGTGCATAAATGATAAAAAGTCAGTAAAAACAAAACAAGATACAACGAGAAAAACACATCAAAAGATAACAATCATTGAAAATAATACATCAATCAATGTTTTTTTTAAAATATTTTTGCAAAGAAAATAATGAAAGTGCTATATAAACTTAGTAAAAGACTTTGGATATCAAACACTAACATAACGAGTTAATAAAACAGGATAAAATCACAAAAACTACCGGTGGAAGAAACAAAGCAATAACAATTACGTTTTTATATTTTGCATATGGAGCAATAGAACTACAGATCTATTACGTTTACCACATCTATCAACACTCATAAATATGTACACACACATTTAAAATATAACTAAACTACATATATATGTTTATATACACATACATACATGTACATCCATCATTACAACGTAAGTTGGACAACGAAGTTTTTTTTTGACAAGAAAGAAAATAGATAAATAGCAAAACACAAAAAATTAGGTTGTATATTGTAACAGGATAATAAATGCAAATATATATATACATAATATGCAAATGATCTTTGTTTTATTTACGAAGTCCGATCAAACCGTTTAATTTTTCGTTGTTTATCATGAATAGATTCTAGTAAAAATCTCACTTTCTAAATTTGTGGCTTAGTGCATATATTTTCTAAAACAATAATAGGGCTGTAAATTACTCGAATTTGCACAGATTGATTTTCGTTTAGTGTTAAAATTTTACTTGACAAATAATATATTATTTTCATAGTACTAGTTTAATTAAAGAATGATGTTTTGTAAAAATAAGAGAAATTCATAAGGAGACACGAAACCTTGAAATCTTTATTGGGTATTTTATGATAATAATCGATACAAAAGTCGATTTAAAGTATTACTGACATTTCTAAAATACATACTGATATAGATAAAATGTAATGATGGACATTCCTAGTCCAGGTAGATTTTTTGAGTTGTGTTATGGTCAGAGATTAAATGAACAATAGTCGATAGAAATAATAAGACAAATCATGTTGATAAAACCTCCGAAGACAAGGTGACTTAGAACTTGCGGAATAATTATGACAGATCCATGTACGGTAAATGCGAAAGTTGTCCGAAATGACGATTAAAGGTTCCTAGTTGAACTGCCAAATCCAAAGAACGTAACTCAACCATATATATATAATCTGTGATTACACTGAGATGGTACATCAATGTCCTTAAAAAATCTAATTAGTACTGATCACGAGTAAAATTCAGAGATCTGTTTGGAATCTTCGAGAATTCCCCGAAAACTTCTTCAGAAAACACAGGAAATGCTGAAAACCATTTAGTTTAAGCACTTAATCAGAGCTTCCCAGATACCTCTATAAAAAGGAAGGATTATGTCCTATACTCTAGCCAGAACGCAAACCAACTTTGTTACTAAACTTAGCGTGCTTCCACAAGTTTTCAGAATGTGGAGGGTATTCATACATCAGTAAATAACATTGAAGTAAAGCTTCTGTTCTTATTTAGTGTTTTATTTGTAACTTTGGAGGATCAAGTTTAAGAGAATTGTGCGGAACTATGGAGCGACTAGGAAGTCATTATCAAACATCTGAGTACCACACACATCAAATAAAACTGAAATATCAAGACCAATAATTAGTAGATAATCAATGTAAGATGAGAATTATGGAAACTTCAGGTTCATAGGATTTTTTTCGATCAGAACATTTGAAGCAACTTAAGTAAATCAGCAGAGGTATCGCAATAATAATAAGACAGTAAATAAACTGATGCTGATGAGAAGTAAACTTTGTTATATAATAAATATATATATATATATATATATATATATATATATATATATATATATATATATATATATATATATATATATATATATATATATATATATATATAACCTAATCTTGGACGAAATGTGATGATTTACTTTTTCTCATATAGTGATAACAAGTATATACATGTTCACAAAATACTATCTGATTTTATGAATATGTTTGATTATCTATGAACGACTTTATGAGAAAAAATCTTGAGAAAACATTAAATGTAAGTGGTAAGAGATTAGGTAATGTATTTTGATCAGACTGACCTTAAATGAACCCAAAAATTATACAGAATAGTCAGCCAGGTAAACTACACGAAATCTCAGACGGTATACGTTGTTAGAAAAGAGGAGAAAGTGAGAGAAAAATCAATAACTGTACATTGAAACTAAGATAAAAACAAAATTGGTGATAAGAATTACAGACATTTCAAATGTTGAAATATTAAGGTCATATAGGCTGCTGTTGCATAACAGTTAAGTATTTATTATTCACACTTTCAAATAAAAGCATTATGCAGGTATTGTCTTATATTGAGAATTGATCAATTGGTACATAGTTTAGACAGAAATACTGATGCGAGCATTTATGTTTTGTAAATGCTAAGTTGCATTTATTTATGTAAATGGAAAGAATAGAAAGGTAACTTTTTGCTATATAGAGATGACAAAGAATATATAAGTGATAATAACAAGTTGTGTATTTAAACTGGAAGATTTATTCCTAATGTTAGCTTAGTTCTGAATAGCGGTTATATGACGAATTGAGGAAGATGGTGGTAATCAGTTACTAGGAAAAATATGTAGTTTACAATCTATCAGAGTCTTGTGTTGATTTCAATATACGTGTTTTCATACAACTATGTAAAGAGGTTTATGAGTAGCATCTCTATGTAAGCTGACAGATTGGTTAATGAATAATATTTATGTCCTTACATACAAAAAATCAGTAAAGAGGGAGCAGAAAATATCTGGAATTGTCAACAGATAATCTTGAAAACCTATCACGTACACAGATTTATAAAGTATTTCAAATCGTTTTTTAAAAAAATTTCAACAGGGTTTTTTAAAATATTTTAGAAATTTTCACAGATTTAAATCATGAGTCAGTTGAAGCTAGACCACCATTGAAAACCTGGAAGCACTGGACGGCCGTTTCGTCCTAGTATGGGACTCCTCAGCAGTGCGCATCCACGATCCCGCACCACACGAGGCCCGAACCCAGGACTTACTGGCTTCGCGCGCGAGCACTTAACCATTAGACCACTGAGCCGGCATCCAACGGTGTTAATGTCTAACTTCGAACAATCCACGAAGTCGCGCGACCGTACACCATTGTCTTCAGTGAGCTGATATCTCACAACAGACCTGGTTGAACTCCACTGGTAACGGCTTCCCACTAGAACTCCAGGAGTATCTCTTGAAGTCAGTCACTAGTGAGCAGATGATTATTATCAGAATGGGTTTGTGGAGATTTTAGAAATTTTCACAGATTTAAATCATGAGTCAGTTGAAGCTAGACCACAAAACCCCTTCTGACAGTGCTTCCAGGTTTTCAATGCTGGTCTAGCTTAAAATAACCAAAAAAGTTTTAAAAATTTTTCTACGTTTTTTGAAATAACCATAGCGTTTTTAAAAATCTTTTTTATAATTCTTACACGCCAGAGATGAATAAAAAACAACAGTTTAACTTCAAATGAGAAGAGACAATGCCTCGTAAAAAAAAGTTATTAAAGACGGATATAGTTTCAAAGATGCCGCATTTCTTGTGGGCGTGAATTATCAAGCCGATGCAAATGTTATGAGGCTACACAAAAAAAGTTTAAAAAACGCAGGCAAAATTTAAAAATATTTTTGGTTACTTTAAAAAACCCTGTTGAAGTTTAAAAAAAACGAGTTGAAGTACTATGTTGTTATGTATGCATTATACTTATAAATAGTAAAAAGCTTCATTTTAGCGTTGAACTGTTAATAAAAATAGCCACATGAACAGAGGAAGTAATTAACCAATGATTATTTGGTTTATCAACAATACATTCATCAGTGTAAAACAGTCATTGGAAAGTCAATTAGTCAGATAAAGTGATACCAATATGAATGAAATAAAACCATGGTACAAATAATTTACTTACTTCCATCTTTAGACTTATCTTGATTTGATTTAAATAATGGAGAAATCTCATTCTTAGAAATTAAACCAATTGATTTGGACGAAATATTAAAGTTCCCTTTTAGACAACTGTATCTGTTATATGGGGGAAAATTATAGCGTAAACAATTACTACTTTAACAATGTTGAAGTTTGAAATAATCATTATTAGGATAAAATGACTGGGAAAATAACCAAATACAAAGGTACAGTTTAAAAATATAGCAACTATTTTGTTAATTATTATTTATCAGTATAGGGTTGTGAAGATTATTGAAGTTAGAAATTAACACGGTTGAACGCCGGCTCAGTGGTTTAAAGGTTAGGGGTTGAAGCGCAAGACCGAAGGTCCTCGGTTCGATTAGCGTACGCGAGGTCGTAGATGCGCACTTTGAGGGAGTCTTATACTAGTATGAAACGGTCGTCCAGTGCTTCTGGGTGTTCAATAGTCGAACATTGATCGGTTCGGGATTTCAGTGAAATTATTATTTAATTTATACAAAATCTGGCAGAACCAAGCACCGAAAATAATATGTCCTAAAACGTTTTGTGTGGGCTGTGATACTGTCTGGGTGCCTAGACAGAAGTACGTGATTTCCTTCGAAGGCTATTCTCAAAGCCTTTAACCTAGAGGTCTAATTCAAAAGGAGATGGTTTATCGTCAAGAGATATCGCCTCATTAGAGCCGGTGGCAAAAAATAGGTTCATAAGCCATTTGTTCCCTCAGGTTTCTAAAGCACGTATTCACAATTTGTCTGAAATCAAGGCTTCTCAACTCCCTTACATGAACCCTTAATATTAACCAAAACGATTTAAAAGTTTGATGTCCGCTTTTTCTTTCCTCACTTTTTTAAACAATACTCTCACCGTTTGAAGGCAATTAGTAGGACTTCTCCGGTAGATGTTATAGGCGAAAGGTCGCATGGTAGCATTCTGAACGGGAGAGCAGACTCTTTTCTTCGTTAGCTGTGCCAGGACAATAACACAAAAGGTAAGTTAAAAATATAGGAAGTGTTCCAAAAATAGTTATATTTACACCTTTAAATACCAGTGGAATTTAGCCGGGTAATAGAAATAGTTTTTGTCTGACCAACTAATTAGACCAATCAAAAAACATTTTATATTTATTAAATTAAATAGACAGAAAGGCTTTTGGCGCACAAATAAATATTTCTAACCAATGAGTAAGTTAAGCATATAATATTGCTGAACTGTGTACAGCTAAAAATGGAGTGCAAAAAGTATCAGTGAGGTAGGATAATGTCAATTATCTGGGACAAATAAAAATTGTTATATTTGTAACTTCTAACATCAAAGTACTGTGACGACAAGAACCCCTATGTAATAAGTAGATGAGAGAAAACATTTTGTACTATTTGGGATTTTATCCGATATTTCAGCATCACATCAGTAACGCAGATACATTTACATCCTGAGATTTTGTTATATTCCGACGAGAATAATGAATGGTGACTGTTGGAATCTATTTGTGGACTACTAATACCATAAATATATTTTTGTTGTATAATTGTTAAGTAACTAAACTATGTATATTCACATTTCTCTTATTATAATCCTTATTTCGACCTATAGACTATTGCGATACGATTTCCCTTTTTTTGAGTTATGCCCAGTCTATTAATTACATTGTCCCACAAACACAGCCACTCTGACAAGATCTTGCACAAATGTTATTTTCCATTTTATGGTGTCATGTCGTCTGTTTAGATTGTATATAAACCCAGTATGTGATTCATATCGCGGAGGATGAGATTTGTGTTCTGGACTCAACAAGCAGGGCTAGGTAAGAAGAAGGACCGATAAGGACTCTAGACTGCTCGTACGAGTTTATGCGTCATTGGTTCGGCCGATAGGTCACTGTTCTCTAATTGGCGGTATCATTATGTTTTATATAATAATAGGGCACAAGGTCAAAAGTTATGACAGATTTAAACTAATTTTATGCTTTCGATTAAGGAAATTCATTCTTCTCGAATATTCTCCATAACCAATCATTTTTACGATCATTGGTATAGCCATTAACACTGCTTTTACTGTTTCAGCATTTATAGCGATAATTTTATCTCACAGTGTTGGTGTAATGTGACAACGTGTGAGAATGCATATTTGAGTGGAGCTTTTACAATACTAATGACTGACTGGTCTTTTGATTCACAAGTCACAAACCATAAATAGCATCCAGGAATAAAGGACATTGATAGTTATTACATGTAGACGTTTGCGGCTTTTCGTTTACTGACTCCATAATTGAACGAAGCGATACACATATGAAACTTAAATGACGAAGTTCGTTCTATAGTGGGTTTGATGAAAATTATTTCTAGTAACTATAAAAATCCAGTTTTTAACAATATATCGAAATGTAATGCTAAAGTACGCTTTTGATGGATTATCACAAAACTGAGCTGAAATAGCAACAGAGTAAGAGATAAAATAATGGATTTTTCTGAATCTGTAACTTAGCGTAATTCAAATTTTTTTACTTGCGCATATGTACGGTGACCTTATTATCGTGTGAGCAAGAGCAATACCACCTGACTGTAAGACCTAAATAAATGGAGTACCTTTGAACTCGTGATAGAACGAATGATAATCAAGTGATTCGACCAATCATCCACAAACCTATAGTGACAAGATTTAATAGTATCATTTTTTCAGGGAGGGAGCATGTTAGAAAAGAGAGCAAAAACTATTCAGCTTATCTAAAATATGAGCTACTTAGATTCGAGTTTATATCTAAGCAGTAATAAACTAAAATTAACAGTAAGCATACGTAAAATACATGTTGAATCTTTATATAAAATAAATATAATTTTTCATTTTGAATGTAACATACTCTTTTACTTCGGAGTTAGATGACACAGATGAATTGTTAACTTCGTCATCAGAAATCTTTAAAGAATTGATAAAATGACAAGAAAAAGATAAAAATGAAGTGATTAAAAACAGTATTTTCACGGAAAGTATCAGTGATAGTAAACATGACAGAATGTTTTAATATAGGGTATCAACTTGTTCAGAAAATTGCTATGTCAGAACGAAGATTGAAGAAATGGTAAGTCCCAGAATTAATTTCTGGATTATTATCATTATTAAGAAACTAGATTACTATATCTATGTACTCCGTTTATCATTACCTTTCGGTTAATCCATAAACTAATGTCATACGACTGACTATTCCTATTTTGTTGCCAGTCTATTATTTACAGTCTTCTCTACTCACAGCCACTTTTAGCCTGTTCATGTATAATTGTTATTTTTCATATCATGGTGTGGTTCGGTTATGTATGTCCGTATATAAACCACGTTTGTTTGAAATACAGATATGGTAGAGGCTAGGTGTTGGACTTATGGATTCAACGCTGCAGTATAGGGAGGACCTAGTGCATAGTGGACCAATACAAACACATCTGCGGGTTGAATGTTAATGGTGATGATGGGGCGTGTAATTGGTTAAGTTAGAGACCCTAAACCATAGAGTAAATAAAAGGCCAAATTAGAATTAAGATTATGATTAGTGATTGGACGTGTGATATAATTCAGCGGGTAAACCACGCATAACATAAATAGATCATAGTAACAGTTGCTGGTGCTAAACTCATGTCAAGAAAATAGAAAAGAAGTACAATACATTGAGAACGATACGCAGTGTAAGCCATAATTTTTTAAAGATAGAGTGATTTAATAATTTATTAGAGTAAATAGTCAGTCACTTATTGAAATAGAGCATAGTAAGAATTAGCGTTGTTCGAATTTGCGAGATCGTATTTGGTTGACGAAACTGAAAAGATGAATTTCAAGAAATAATGTAATAGCAATTGGAATGAGAATGATTGGACACTTGAAAGTTAATACGAAAAGACAGACTAACAGTGTTTAGTGGCCATTTATCTTTTTTTAACGGTTGATTGAAAAGCTTTCTTTGAGATTTTTCATAGCACTGTCATCTTATTTTTATGGTGCATTTATTGATCCTCTAGTATTTAAGCTTTTTTTCAGTATGATTATAAATAAGTAGGAAACAGACCTGTTAGTGAAAAAGGTTCATTGTTATGAAATATTATTGGTAGTATATATCGACTATTTACAGGAAGATAACAAGTGTATTAATCAACCAAGGATAGCTTACTTGAATTGAGCTTCGGGAAGGTGACCTATGACGTGAATGTGTAATTGTGATAGATCTTTGTAAAACTGGGCTATCAACATGAGATGTTTTGTGAGAAACCTTGACAACAGGAGAAACAAGTAACTCATGGCATTCACTATCGGAATCACTAATGTTACTTGGTGTGTGTTTGGATTTCACGGCTGCTGATTCGACAGAAAAATCTCCACCTGTATCCGATTCGCCATCGTTCAATTCATCTGAAATGTGTAGTTCATTCGAAACATTTTATGAGAAAAAGAGTTCGCTTTTATTATTATTCAAAAAGCTTTTCTGCAACAAAATAAATATTTCAGCAAAGAAAATTTTCTTTTCAACAATTTCATTTTCAAAACCTGCATAATTGTATTTATAAAAGGTAATCTATGTGATGAATAAGTACTTTACATTAATACGCCTGCGTATAATGGGTGAGAATCATGATGTTTAGTTAGTATTAATGGGTGAAACCGATTAATTATTGATAAATGAATAATCATACTGACTAGTAACTACAGGACATAAAAGACACAACTACAAAATTAGAGATATGGTATGATTTTTCAAGTAGATTGATGGAGGTCAAAATAAATGAGGACAGGAATTGATTAAAGGTGAGTGATCATATGATAATAGATAGAATGAATAAATTATTCGGATGTAAAAAAGTAGATTATATAACATGTGACTTAAAAAAACGAGGGTAATAAACAGCAACCAAAATTTTTTATTAAGTAGTGTGTAAAGAAAGATATAGAGGAAACTCAGGCTACAGCATAGAAATAGATCTCGGAAATAGTTTTCTATACATAAATATAGCTTCTTCTTAAGCATTTCCAGTGCTTCTGTATCATAAAGATGTGTGTAGGCGTTTCGGTAGAACCGATTAGATTTTATAAATGATTTTGGACGCTGAGTCTGATACTGCATGATTGTCATCAACTACGCGCTAGAGAACAGACGATTTCACATACTTTTATGTTGTCCTTTACAGAGTCATACTATCAGGTGCCCAGTAATGCGTTGGGAGGTTCTCCTTGATAAAAGAAATATGCACCTAGGTTCACCGGTGAAGATGAATGAAGGAATTCATGTCTAATCGGTCAAACGATACAGCTAGACCTTTTCATATATGTGCACTAATAAGCTGATAGTGTAGACAACTCACATAGGAACTAGATAAAATGTTTTCCATGATGGATTAATCAAACAATTAATTAAGATTTTGTCCGCAATATTATCCTTAAAATCCAGATCAATATGGATATTATCGTTCTGTATGCTTATGACCCCTAGTATTTTCCATGCTTATTTCAATAAACTTTGGAAGATAACCATCATCAATAAAATTAGTTTCAAGTGATCCTCACTCATCAAAAACATGAATACTACTAACACACAAAACTTGTTCATCACATTAATTATCTGGTATAAATACGACTGCATAGCTTTTTAAAAATGAATCCACAGAAAAAAATTTCTTTGCTAAATTTTTAATCTATTCCTTAGTGGATTTATAAATTTCCTATAATAGCTTTTCTTCCTGAAACCTAAAAGAGTTAAAACTATGTCGATAGCACTTCAATAACAATTCCTATAGAGACGGATTTCTACTTTAGTTTTAGTTACAATCTTTATAAAAAATTGTAAGCAGTACGATGAAAAGTTTACCAAAGTAAACTAGTGTAGGTTAAAACTAAATTTATCATGAACGGATAAAAAATATATAACAGAATCTCAATTAATGATTACAGTACAAATATAGGTAATTACACTCTAATTCAGAAACAAATCTAAGTAAAGAACGTCACTAGGTTATTCTACTTATAATACAGACAAAATTCACTACCGACTTGTGTGATGTCTTCTTATAACATTTTAATAGGAATTTTGCTTTATTCTATTAATTTTTTGTAAGTAACCATTAGTGGAACATTCTATATTATCTCATGTTGATTGCAACGCATTATCAGTTATAACAAAAACTTTTCTTCCATCCTAAAAATACAGATTATTCTGTAGACAATGTCTGAATAAATTAAATCACTACTTTGCACGTATAAATAACGGAAAGGTTGAACAATATCTATCTGTTAAGAATGTTTAGTTTTAGTTTTATTGTTATGTTACATAAAAATCAGTATATTTTATGTTAATTTATACAAGTGTCTTTCTTATCAATAATGTTTAAAATTAATTAACATGATAAATACATATTTGGTGATGAAATACCAAGTGATATTCACAGACACCATATATTACTTTTGAATTGAAATGAAAGGAGTTGGATTGCTTCTAACATAAAAAAACATTTTTTTACTAAGTGTATGGGAGATGGTGATCCAGAATTTACACCTTTCAAGTGTGAGGTAATGTAATAACAATTAAGTTATTTTCTGAATAACGTTAAACATAAAAAACAGTACTGAAGTGACAATATTAAAGAAAAAGAGGAGACAACTGTATAAGCAGAGCATAATAAGATTTTAATATAAAGGCAATTAATTAATGATCAGAAGAAAGCTTCACATAATGGATAAACTTTTAAAACTCCGAATCCAAGTGTCTAGTGAATTTCTAGGACGTAGAGGGTTATAATAACTGGCAGTACATCTACATGTTTAGTCCAGCTGTTGTAACAACGAGAGATTTCGTTCATATTGTTTTAAAATATCCAATATCATGATTTCTCTGGCAAAACAAACCAATTATCACAGATATTTCTTATACTTTCTGTCTAACAAAACAAGCGAATCGAGTTGTTGAGGATGCACAAAACAGCTAACTGTGCTGTATAACAAACCCAAACAAAAATGAAATGATTGAAGTAGGTAAAAATAAAACAGTATATAATGTTTGACAGTAAGGGATTCAGGTTTTAACCAATGACTCGCAGGTTCAAACCTTACTCCACATGATCTGGTTTGAGCTACCAGGCAGTAACACTAGCCGACACATAAAGTACGTGGCTTCAATTAGCAAATCAGTTACAATGTTATGCATCTTAAGAAAAATACCACAAGCTCCTACCAAATTCATCCATTTTTCTGAAGACCTGGACAGTAATCGGTTTGCTGGCCAAAACTAACCGAGCCATCAAGTTTTCTAGATCCTCTAAGTTTGTAACTTGACTGGTGTTTTTGTCAGTGTTCTTCCGACTAGTACCCAGGTTTATGCCATCAATAGAAGCCAATATGTCGCCTTTTTGAAATTCACAGATATCTGCTGAACTACCTAGATGTTGTATGTTAATGAAACAAATGTAAACGAATAAAGAAAGTTTAAGAAATGTTAAACAGAATGGATTGATTTATCAACGATCTACAGTAAGCTCACTTACCTGAGTACTATGCAAAAAAATGCATGGTTTTAGTTATTTGGTTTCTCAGATTTCATTTCTAATGGAAATCTTCGGAGAAATCATCCTCAAAACTAAGATATAGATCAAATAACGAACAAATCTTAACTAGACCACGTATAAAAACCTGGAAGCATTGAAAAGCCATCCCGCTCGCCGAGCTTTAACCTCTAGAGTACGGGACCGGTATCCGATGTCGATAGTGCCTAAAATGACACGGCCGTCCAGTGCTTCAAGGTCTTCAGTGGCGTTTAGATAAGATCGGTTTATAATTTGATCTAGGGAAATTCTGCAATTTCCACCCCCACCCCCCTAACACTAATAAAATACGGATATTTCTCTCCATCGCATGATAAAATAACGTAGTCTCTTGATACACACAGTAAAAGAGTAAAACTCAGGAACATAATGAAGTATTATAGTTGTACACAAAGTTTGGAATATTGTGTGTTAATGACCACAAAGATGAGAGGTAATACGTCATGAAACGCTGAAGGAACCCTACAGTAAATTAGTTTTTCAGAAGATTCTTGTACAATAAGTTCAGAATTTGGTGAAATTTTATTTCGAAATGTTAACTTGGAAGTATTTAGAAGTTAGTGCTAATCCTGACACATTTTAGATGAAAAAAATGACCACCCAGTTCAGTAAGGGTGGTAAATTTCAATATTTAAATACGTGCATTTAAATCAATCTTACGAGACAATTAGATTTTTACTGGAAAGAAAGAACTTAGTAAATGGTAAAAATGTAACATTCATATCATGAAAAGTTTAATGCTTTCTGAAGTAGAAACAACATACAATAGACTTTTAGTGATAGGACAACAGTAATTTAAAGTTGTTTTGCAGTTAACTCCCTACCGAGATTGTCACAGAGATCCATATGATATGTCACGATTAGTTTGCTTCGGTTAAATCCACCTTTAAAACCCGACTGTGCAATCAAAGTTTGCGAAACTCCTTTTGACAGCTTTATATACTTGAAAATATTATAATGATGACTAAAAAAACAGGTTGAAAAAGTAAGGTCGTGTGGTCATTGCAAGCAAAATATGTCACCAGGTAGACTGGGGAACAGAAAACTGATCGGAAACTACGGAGAAAGCTATCTAGTATAATTTGGATATCACGATACAAGACATCAGAAAAAAGACAAAAGTAATGTTTGAACTAACAGACAACCACATCAAAGTTACCAAACTTTTTCAACAGCAATAAAGGAGAAAATTAATACACAGGGATATATTGCGAAAAATCTGTACTCAAGATCTAAGTGTAGATAAAGAAAGCTCATTAATTCAGTCTCGTAGATAAGTAAATTAACTAACGCACTCACTCAATTCATTTTATATTTGTACACTATAGTTTGGTTAAGCTATGGATCATATTACGAATGATGTGAAAGTCAATCTATGTGCGTTTGAATTTCTGTTACTAGCAACACTACTCTGTAATTTACCTTGAAAATTTCAGACTGCTACGTCAGTGGGGAATGGCAATCTGAACCGATGCATACACGTGCCAGGTTCCACGTTGCGTATTACTGACTAACTCAGTCAAAGGATAAAGAAGGTACTATATTTTTCTAGTTCTTGCTGAACATTTGCGCGTCGCAGTTAACTACTGTGGCATAATTCAACAGATGAAGTTACATATATAGTTGGACGAGAGTTCTGTGTCCCACTGTTAATTTATGTCACTCATTTACTAAAAGTAGGTTCCAAATATTGAGGGTTTAGGTCATTTTTATGTATGAGAACTACGATTAATAAACAACTAGCTAAACGAAAGTAGATATGAGGCATTTCAAATCAGAAACTGTTTCTAAAAATCAATCCCACTAATAACCAATTTATTGTATCCACTCAATTACTAGTCGCCACCAAATAATAAGAATTAAATTTTTTTTGAGTAAAATAAAAAGATTGAAAATTATTACGATCGACTCTTCGTGCAGTCCAGAGGCACAATTTTAGAGTAAAGATAGGCAAATAAATTACTTTGAGTGAAGGAATCATCGAGAGGTATCGCTTATGACGAATGTAAGTGGGAAACAGTATAATAAACTTTGTATACAGACAATAGGAGAATAAGATGAGTGAAATTAGTTGCTGTATAAACTATTCGCCGAATTTCTTCCTCAATCCTATACTATTTCAAAAGTAAAAATGAATGGGAAGAGAAAATGTCTGTAATACATGAAAACATGTGATATATAGAAACCTACCAATTTTAACGCGTTCAACAACAAAAGGGGAAGTATTTGAAGGACCTCGTGCTTTTATTGTTAGTCCCCAATGAACCTCTGATACTCCAGGTCTTGATGACAAACGTAATTTGCATTCTGAATAGTCATTATTTTCAAAACTCTCATCAAAAGGCAGTTTGGTTTCCGGGGTGACTTCAACGTTGCAATTATCTGGTTTAGATATGAGATCACGAATCACTTCAATTCGATCACATTTGGCATATTTTTCGACAGAATTTTTATTTGGAGAAGAAATATCCATTATTTTGTCCGTAATATTACTCTACAAACATAAAAATATGAAAGTTAATGATTATCTTAAGCGTCATTTTACTTCTCACTGGTAAATTATCATCCGTAAGAAATTTCAATATGTTTACATTGTTTTAAATATTTCGATAAACTATCGAACTTGCCAGTTTTTCCATTAAAGGGAGACGGGAATTTTCGAGGCAGATTAAAGGTGAGAAAAAGCTGACTATATTTTCAAAACTGGAACTCTAAACGTCTGCGTGCATATATGATAGCTTTTAACGTACGGAGCTGAAATCTGTTTTCGCATAGACTTTATGAATGATTTTTGAGATATATTCAACTACAGAAGAGAAAAATCGTCTACCAATGGGATTTATAAAATTTTGGACATTTCACTAGTTTTGAAATTATTCAGGTATTCGTCACGGTATTAGTGAACTAATATATCAATTATTTCATCCAATATACTTACAAACACAAACACGTTTGACTGGAAAGCATGACACGATAATGTAATCGTTTATATGTTGTATCAAAGAACAGATTTCGTAATGTTATCCAAGTCAGTGTTTTTAGTATAATGCGTTTCGCTAAAGGTCGATTTAAAGCTATTTCCATAATTAGGTTGTTCGATTTACCTTGATTAGACAGTCTTGAATAGACTTTATTTTCTGAAATTCAAATAATCATAAGCGATAAACAGCCATCATTATCCACAATCATTGAAATAATCAGCAAAGAGTTCAGAAATCATTGAGTAGGAACAGTCAGTGAAGTATGCTTCAGTTTGTTGAGAAACTAACGAGATGGATGTCTAACCCCTTTTACCTGTTTAAAAAACTTTGGTCCTGTAATTTCATTTAAAGATTGTTGGTCTTTCTCATTACCTGTTCTTCCTCTTATTTTTTAGTATTAAAATTAATTGATACAATTCTATTTCATTTTCAGACAAAAACACCGATGAGTAAATACAAGATCAAATTATTCGAAAGGTACTGAGTACGTATATCACATGGTTTTAGTTAAATTTCATCTTCCATTAGACTTTTAAAATGTAGTGATGTAATCGATTGACTTCAACTATTTTTACTTCCGAATTAAGCTAAGGTGCTTGCAACTTTTTAAACATTTATAACACTTCTCAACTGAGATAAGAATGAAACAAAGTAAAATTGTTGTGAATTCAAACGGCCTAACGGGAAAATATGTCACTACTTTTCTATCTTATGTATATCAGATTGGAATGTCAACGGACTATCCCAGTTGGACTATGATACCGATCTTTGTGAATGCTCACAACAACCACATATTAAAACGCCCAGAGAAGAAAAAACATAAAAGGAATAAAAAGTCGACTATTAAAAAACTTACCTGAACTTCAGTTTTCAGTTCAGACACAGGTGAAGAACAATCGGAGTAGGCCTTCAAATTAGTCTCGGAGTCATTTGACTTAAAAAGATCTGAACTATCTGTGTACTGAAATTTATTTGAAGAAACCGATTGTGATGGTGAGACTGTATCCATTTGATCTTTTTCAAAATGACCGAAAGTGAGCGGATCAAAATCGCTACCTGTTAGTAATGCGACGCCAGGACTATTTAATTTTGGTGGAGCTAAATCTAAGGAAGAAACATGTCCACTGGAAATTAGATTACGTTGGCTCCTAAGGATTGCAAGGAAAATAATGAAAATAGTCAATTGCAAGGCGTCAACTACTAAATGCATATCATATTCAACATTTGATAATTACAGTAGTGTGAAGAATCGAAATGAAACGGTCTGGATTATTGACCGCATGATTAAAAAGACAGGAAAAAATCTGAAGAGGTATGACACTATCGATAGTGAATATTCTATTAAAGCATACTTTTGGTCTAAAATCATTCGTACAATGGAGCGAAACCTAACAAACACAGTCTTCTTCACATACACATGTGATAAAAAATCCAAGAACATAAAAGGAATAGAGATACCTAACCTTGGCAGATGACAATTACACTGACTGGACAAAAGAAAGTGGCTTAATATGTTTTTCAACTACGATTATAATTCCAAACCTTATAAATCAATAACTTTATTTTACTAACTCATAACCTTGAATGAACACATAGTTTTATATTATTTTCAAGTATCTTCTTAAATATAACAAGTTGCTAATTTATTCTTTTTGCCGTATCCGAGAAAACTTTGTAAACTATAAACTTGTAATAAACACATATGAGAACACTAGGGTGGTTCAGTCTTGGTACGGGTATTTCCATGAACTATTTAATGCCCTATTATGTTCAATCGTTTGGACAAGAAAATATTTTAAGGAAATATTGAACAACTACACAATTCACCTACTTGGCTTTACGAAGGCGATCTTTTGCTTCTTCCTTACGTCTTTCGTTCTCCCTACTCTCACGCTCTTGAAGTAAGGCAAATTTTGTTGCCTCAGTGAGTAAGGCTTGACGACGTTTTTCACGCCAAACATCCAACTTCTAAAAATAAACATAGAGTACATAGTTGGAAAAAAACCGAATAAATCTGATGTTTGTTTATTGATATGATTTATCATCGGTTATAAGACTTACAGTCGACCAGAAATCCTATCAATTAAGAAAATTAATAAACCTAAGAAATTTCATGACAAAAGGGATTGGGCAATTAGAACCAAATCTATAATCTTAAAAATCTGGACAGTATAGCAAAAGTTATAACATTTAGTTAAATAGATATCCGAATGATAAGAGACACTTTTCAAAGACACAAATATTTACCATGCATAACGCAACTAATGGATACTGATGATAAGAGAAAAATGTTTACTGTTAGTATTCTGTTTTCAAACAGCAGTTAAAAAGTTGTGTAGCAGCAGCGTTCCTCACAAGAAATCAATTTACGTAATTATTGTTGAGCTACCTGATGAATACAGTTACTTGGCCCATCATCATTTTAGGTTTAGATTACCATTTTATAAGAGACTGTCAAACCCTGTTACATATTTTGATAAGTTGAATGTTCCATGAATTTCCACTTGATTGCTGAATTACATCACTAATGTATACTTAGTTAACTGACCGTGACCGAGCGTATGCTCATTATCAAGCCAAGTATCAACTTAACAGTATATTGGTGACTACATGAAAACATAAGGCGTCATAAAACTATGGCAACTGACGATCATATTCACTTAAGATAATAAGGAGCTGACAAATAACTTTAGTTAACTGGCTTTGATGACGAAATGATGGGGTCGACCATGAGAAAAAAATATCTCAACCTTGTTCAGTTACAAAATGTGATTCACCTAAAATGAAACTAAGTGGTTAGAAAAAAAATATCGAAGTGTATATGTGATATCGATTAGTTATCAATGGTGAAATGTCTGACATATGTCACAGAAGTGTTTCAAAATAAAAAAAGTATGACTGTGAAAAAGAATACATCAGTCGTCATGTAAATATCTGGGAAAGATTAAAGCTGAAGTATCTAGATGTTGAATGACGTACGGAAAACCAGACCCCATACTTTGACGACGAATTGAGGAAAGAACAGAAAAAGATATACACGATATTCTAAATCTATCTCGTATACATGAGGCTATACGATCTAAGTTATTATATAGTTACAACTTTAATCCTTAAAATAATCTTGTTGAAACAAAGGATGCTGGTAGTGAACCATGAACTTAAAGTGAACGTCAAGTATCTTGGTGCATTAGTCGATTTTAAAGAAATGTCAACAAGTGAAAGTATTTGGCTGTATTTCCTTCTGTAGACAACCTCAACTTTCGAAATCAATTGTCCTCACTTACTATCTTTAAATATTTCAGGATGAAAATTTCATATTATGCAAAGGATGAGGTAAGAAAAAAATACTGGAAAGAAGATTACTGAACATCCTTACCGACTGCCATTCTTCTTCCTCTTCAAAACAATTATTATTTCCCTGTAGGTATTCCACACCAGGTGCTGATTGCTGTCGATCGGTAATTTTGAAGTGAGGCTTTTCCCCAAAATTGGGTGATGACGAATGAGAGATACTCATTGTTCATTGGTTTGGGAATCTTGAAAAATAACATAAGACAAAGCTCCACAATCATATTAAATCACAAGTGTGTGGCATATTCATTTTGTGAGATCTAATGAGATTGCTAAGTTGTGCAAAATGAAGTATGCCGAAAAATACTTTAAATTAAATAAGTCTCCAGTTAGATGAACTATTATCATTAGGTTGGTAAAGTGACCATGTTTGATATATTTATCTAACTCATTAATTTTATGAACCTGTAGGAATTGAGAGGTGATTTGAACTGGCATCCGTTGGTACATCGTAATTCTCTGATTTGGGTGGTAAGTATTATGCCACTTCATAACCTGTAGATTCTGTTTATTTTGTTTGTTTTATTAATAACATAAAAACTTTAGGAAGCGAAACTTTCGGTGTTAATATCTGTTTCATTGTCATTACATATCAGCATCCCACACTATATATAGTATTCTGGTATTTTAAAAATGTAGATGAAACTGAATAACTTAAATCAATATAAGCAGCACAATTACATTCTTCGCTATTTTGTCTGATGCTTTACTTTCTGAATCAAATAGAACAAACGGAACCACTAGTCGTGCATCATTTTAATACAGTAAAAATTAGGAAAAGAATTGATTGCATCGGTAAAGAAAAAATAACTAACGATTCAAAAATGGTATTGATTATAAAAAATGACACTTGTGATCTGTTCCTTGATTCTGTTTCACAGCATACTGATCATTGACATAAGCAAGTGTATGAGTCAGTCAGCTACAACGTAGGACCAGGCACATATATGCATCGGTCCAAATCGCCACACAACACAACAAGGTGAACACCGAATTTATACATGTATGAGAGATGGCATATGAAGATCTAGTAAAAAAACTCGATAATATTATGAATTACATATCTAACAAAATAAAATTGATACAGAATTTTTCTGCCTGAAGTATCCAAATTCAATTTTGCCTCGGCAGTTTTAGGTGCTGAGGCTTAGTAAAAACTCATTGAGATTCAACCGTACTTAACCTGATATCTAACAATGAATTCCCACATCACTGTGTGAAAATGTAATCACTTTTAAGCAGTAATGTCAGTTTATACACTCTTACTTCATTTTTTGGTAAAATACTTTTCGAAAATAAATGTTGAAAGTTAATGGAATAAGTAAGTAAGGTTATTATTTCAAACGGGGAATAAGAATTTACTCCATATACTTTAATAATAGTGAAAACTAAATAAATCTACGGAATTTTATGCCCTAAGTATCCCAATTAAAATATAAAAATAACACTTAGGAAATAAGTATAGAAAGAAGCTTACCTTACGTGAGATGAAGCTGCTAAATCCTCACTATCATTACCAATGAGCTTTGATTCCGGCAAACAAAGTTCATTTACATAGAGAGAAACTACTTGAAACAACTGTCCTATACAAATAAGAGTATTCTACAATAACAAGAATTGTGAAATAAAACGGTACAGAATAATGTTTTGGACAAACATCAAACCAGAAAAAAAATACATGCATTGACTCATACCTTTTAGGCTTTGTACTAATAAGTTCAGTAATAGCACGTTGTACGGTCTCAATACATTTATTTGAGCCTGAAGTTTAAATATAATTAATACCAAAGGTATCTATTCCACTAATTATCTTTAAAAATAACAACATTATTCTTCTTTCCGTCTTACCCGTGACTTGTCGTATCTGTTACTCCACTGCACTGAAATAACAATATTGAAGTATTCTGGAGCCATAGAAACAGATGCATACTTTGAAAGGATGGTGACTACGCAGTTATAATAAAATCCAAGACGTTCGATTTACTTTCAAAAGCATTTATGATAAATCCAAGTGGTGAGTGAAATAACACAACTGTATATAGTTACGCGGCTCCAAGAAATTATTGAGTACGGAGTCATGTGCATGACAAACTATAGCTATGGATGATAAACCCGACATATATTATGTCATAAACATAGAGTTATTGTTATCTGAGAATGTTTATACCACAACTACTTGTAATGAAGAATTACAAAATTAACTCAGAAGTTGTAGAGGTAGTATACTACTGTAACTACACGTTTATATGTAGTACTGAGGTAGCCAACTAATAATAACTATTGGTAAAACTTGCGTCTTTGCTTTTTATTGTTTACAAGTCACTTGGTTTTGAAGTTTTGATTCTTCATAGTAGAAAGCCATTGCATTATATCGAGAATTGCTACTGTACACACTTGAGTAAAGCCAGAAAAGCCAGAGAACAGATGTCGTGATTGTCAAGGTAAAACTACACACAAATTATTATTATTTATTTATTTGAACACATAAATATTGATACAAGAGAGCGCCAATATATATGCGCCACACAAATAATTGTTTCTACAATTGTGAATAATTAAAATTAGCTAATTTACAAGTCCACAGAGGTTAATTAGAAAGGTAATCGAAAAAACAAAAGTCTACTCTAAATTAGAGTGTATCACCAATTTAAAATGCTTTATTGTCATTAAAATCACAAACTGGTCTAAGTCAAACCACCACTGACAGTCTGGAAGAGTTAGACAGCCATTTCGTACTAATATGGTGCTTGTGGATGCGCACTGTTGAGTCTCAAACCATTGCGAGACGACTGTTCAGTGCTTGCAGGCTTTCAGTGATGGTTCAACTTAGATTGGTTCGCGATTTAAATAACCTCCGCAACTCACTGACAATTACCACATGTTCACTAGAGACCAGCTTCGAGAAGGAATTTACGGAGTTCTAGTGAAAAGCCGTTACTGGTGGAGCTAATCTGCGTCGGATATGAGATAGATACGTACCGAAGTCAATGTAATACGGTCACGCAATGTCGTGGATTGACTGAAGTTAAATCTTAACACCGTTAGATGCCGACTCAGTGGTCTAGAGGTTAAGCGTTTGCGAGAGACTGGAGGTCCTAGGTTCGATTCCCATGTGCAGGATCGTCGGTGACCACTGTCAGAGTCCCGTAAAAGAGCAAAACGGACATCCAGTGACTCTAGGCTTTCAATGGTGGTTTAACCTACATCACCTCGTGATTTCAAAGAAATGATACAATTGATGTCGCCTTGATTAAATTTATAAATGGGAAAATCTGTATAAATGTCACATTTTCGTTTGTTTTCTAGAATATGGCCTCTCCGAAGTATAGTCTAATAGCTTTCGTTATTTTGTCAACGTCATCTTAAGAACTTCGACGTAAACCACCGTCAACACGATGTGGGTAATACCGAGAACAAAAAATAGGTATTTAACCACGACGATGGTTACTTAGTCTATAATTAACGTCACCTTTAGTCAGAGCTTAGCCATAATATCTCAGTAGAGCGATTTACTGCTATTCAGTTGTATATTTGTAGGTGCTATTGATTTATGACATCGTGATAAGGAGTGTAGTAAACTTGACAATGTCGACATTGTCAGTAAGGTGGCTGGAATCTCTAAATCCTACCACTGATGTACGCAATTTAATAGCAAACAAAAACGGTTGAACTGTGATATGAAAAAGCTCAGTAACACCATAATACATAGGCCTAAAACAGGAACCTATTATTAACGGCATTTACGCTTTACAAAACATAAGAACACACAGATAAGTAATCAAAAAGGGCGGATAAATTAACAAAAAATTGAAGCAGGTTTGCGATTTATTTTTGAAATATACTGGATGGTTTATTTTCACGGCATAATAAACACCGACTGATAACTTACAATGATTCCAAGAACTGTTTTATGTGGAACGTTAACAGGAATAGCGAGTGTTCTAATAATAAGTGAACAAAATATCTTGTTTTATGACAAATATCACAGGATCACCAGTACATGTCATAAGAATAATTCGAGAAAGCTACGATAATTCACAACATCCTTGACACTTGACGAGAGCGCTATATGATTAACCGCGTCGATTTATTAAATGTACAAGTTTAATAAGTCGGATGTAAATGAAATAAACAGTCTGTTTTCGAATGACTTACTACCTAACAACCTTGGTCTGAAAAGGTCTCACAAAAAGTCAGCAAACACTTCCAAACGAGGACGTGGACTTTTGATCACTTCACCTAAATGCATTATTAATACTCAGGTCTCCATAACTGGGAGCCAAATAATTTTTGTAAAAAGTGGTTGGCCCTAGACGAAAACGATCAAATGCAAGAGCAAATTTTCTGGGCGAAGAAAGTAAGACACGAAGAAAAGAATATTGAGGGTTCTGACACAAATAATTGTAAATAACTATTTTGTAACTTGGGTCAGCTGTAAACAAATCATTGCAAAACTCCACTTAAAAATCTCTCTACTTGCAGAAAATTTTCGAATCACTTCGGAGAAAAAATACTCAATTTAGTGTTGTGTTGGAAAATACTCTGTATTCGACACAATCAAACTACATCGGTAACCAACATCTACTAAACGAAATAATCCAGAGACAGATGTGTAGGACGAAAATGGAGGCTAGTTACGCACTTAGCTAAGCTCATTCCACCTCCACAGACCAGAAATCCTCAAACAATTCTGTTTTTGGCTCTTCTTTTTAGTTGTCGCCAAGTTTTGGTGTATGCCTCCATCTAGCAATGGCGTGTTTTGCTTAGTTTACTACTTTTCTCGTTACCTTGAGAACTTCAAGTTGTCGACATTCTCCGTGACACAATTTCCTAACTTTCACAAATTGTATTCTGCCCACTTCCAACGTCGTTTTCCGAATTCCTTCTCAACTGGAAGTTGGTTTGTTATTCGTTACGGCAGGTTTTTGTTGATTGTCTCACGCCAACGGATCTCGAATAGTTTGCTCAGAGAAGTTGTACCTGTTAGTGATGATTTTGATACTACTGTAGATTTCCGTTCTGCGCAAGTGAGCTATTTCGACGTTTGTATTGAGAATTGTGACTACGTTCTGAAGTGACAGTTTTTAGTTCTAAATGGAATGGCTTAATTCGTTTGTTATTCCATAACTTAACAACAACTTCAGAACGTCATTGCTTACTAACGGTTCCGACAAGTTATTTAAACGATTCACCGTGTGGAATTTCGCTGCCTGTTTCCGTGATGTACCTTAGGATTTTGTTTTTCCCTTGAAAGTGTTAATATCCATCTATGCAGAAATTGCTGCCACACTAACCGTCCTGTTCAGCATATCCTATTATGTATGAGATAGATGGGCTTGATAATCTGTGGCCGAAATCGTCCAGGTGGGTCTCAGGTTGACTCTTGCTTGCTACCTTTCCCTCCTAGCTTCTTGGTTATATGACACAGTTCTCTATTGTTTATTTCTCGCATTTTCCGATGTAGCTGCCTAGCCTTATATAATTTCTCTTTCTTGAACCTGTTTTTTCGCTTCTGTATATTAAGTCTGGAAATCTTATTGTCTTTATTTTTAAAAGTTTACCAAGAGCAACAATAGAGAGCCCCATTTATGCTGATACCTCTCATGGTTCGGCACCCCCTGTTATGATGACCCATTTCTTTTAGTGCATCTTGTAAAGCTTAGAGATGGTTGCAGAGAGCTGTTTTGAATTCTATAGGTTCGTTAGCATCTCAAACGAAAGTTGTAGTGTCACTTGTCCAGTTACCCAATGCTTTCATGGCTTCAGGTTTTCTTCCATCACTTAGCAGTCAAAAACTTTACTAGCATCTTTATTTGCTCCTTTTCCTTCACGAATCTCCTAAAGTTGTTCATTGATACAGATGTGACTGATCTGCTTCATCGCAATGTAGCCTGGTGAAACACGTTAAGTGTTATGATTTTCGAAAGGGGTGAATGATGTCATCCATAGCCATATTTCTGAAAGAATGTAAAGTTGCCAGCTTCACATCCTTCTTGTTTCTTTCCGCTAAACCATGTGGTCCCATGATGTCTATGTACAAGATATTTTCCATTTCTACCTTGGTGTTTAAATAACTCATCAGAATGGTCAGTTGCTTTCCTTAGTAATGCTCGAGGAAAAGTGATCTCTGTGATCTCCTCGTCCTTCATTGGTACGAAGGTCACACCGGTCATATATACAATGGTATGGTTACATGCATGATCTGTAATTTACAATGTTTGTTTGCAAATAGTACGCTTCTCGAGTAGGGTTGCTTAAATAAATGGAATCAACAAAAATAAAAGGCACTACATTCGTGCAGACGTCCCAGGGATTTAATGATTAGGTTTAAGTCTTAGTATTGCTCTATGACTGCAATTTTCACAATCCTTTTCGAAAATAGCATCATGTTCACGTTGCACACCAGGTCCAAAATCGGTCCATTGTGTTAGAATTCTGGGTGTGCTAAGTATTTCCACAATACAACTTTTAAGTCCATAGTTGTTACAGTGCACATTTAAGGAGCGCTTGTCATGAGCTGTGACCTCGACGAAAGCAAACGGCAAGTTTGTTTCAGGAGTAAGAAGCTCCATAGTTGTGCACTGATGTTAACCCCAAGCAATGCCTAAGGTTTTGTAGTGGAACAGATAAAGGTTTGATAAACTAGGAGACAAGACTTATTCTACCGGCTGTTGCTAGAATATAATTCAGTTAGGGCCTTCATATAAAAGAAACAGTAACAATGAACAATTAGTTGCGATATGTAATGAAGTGGAATGGGTTCAAATAATGGAAGGGAAGTTGTAGTTAGAATGATGAAGGCTGTTTATATGAATAGGAAATGCATCAAATGTGAGTAAAGTGTTAAGAAACTCTAATGAGTATATAATTTATTCTATGTTTCAATTTTTTCACTTTATGCTAACTGCTAGGTCATAATAATAATAATAATATATTCTCAAATAACAGTTTGTTACATGAGGCATGCCAGTTTACAGGCAAGATCAAATTGATACAAATGATACAATATTCACTGCAGTAAATTACATAGCTGGGTTGACAATTTATAAGTTATGAATGTAGATGGTTTTAATCAGTACCACAGTTGGCGCGCTTCATGAAAGTTGCGATTCAAATGTGTGACTGATGGTCAAGGATAGGTCCATTGAAGGTGGGGGCTTTTAAATGTTGCAACCTTATGTCCCTTTGGAATGTCTAAGGCTTTGAGGATGGTGCAGGATGAAATCTTTCGTTCCATATCACAAGGGGGCTGAAAGAGGGAGCAAGTAAAAAAAAGGACGAGAGGCAGAGTAACCAATATTCATGAAGGAATGTTTAAGGTATGATTACTCAGTCTAATTTTCTTTTATTAAGGTATTTGTTAAGAAAGAGCATTTTAATAGGTTAAAGAAAATAAGTGCTAACAAGGTGTGAGTGGACATACAACTGACAAATGTAGGCAATTCGGAAAGGAACTGAGAGTATGGGATTATGTGTGGTTATAAAATAAAATATAGTGCTAGAGACAGTATTGTGATATGCAATTGGCTATCTTCCTTTTATTATCGGAGCTATTAAAGCCCCTTTCGTTTTTTTGTATTATTACTTTTTTTCAGGTATTATAGGGTCTTGAGTAGGCTTCGTATATTAGCGAATTGTCTAGTTTGCTTGTAATAGGATTTCTGGGTAGGAAGTGAAACCAATTCAACGTTCGTAACACGATTTAAAGAGGTATTTTGTGTGATAAGTCAGCATCAGTACCATAAGGTAAAAGTCTGGGTTGGCATGTTACAGGTTAACTTAGTCTAGTAGCGAATTCAACATAAAATTGGAAACATGAGTCTGAGTAGCAAGCGTAGGAGAACAACCTCATCCTCAATCATAAAGAGCTCATACCAAACAAAATGTTCCTCCCCAAATTGACATCCATTGTAATTCGCTTTTGTTTTGGTTCTGAAGAGTGATTTGACGATCAATTATTAACGGGTTTTCCACCTTTTATACACTTCACGCTATTTTTCTAAGACCATCATTGACTCCGTATGTGTAGGGCACTTACTTCTTGACAATCTTAATACTGTTCCACCACTTTCAAGACCTTTCCTTTCTGTACAGCTTGTATTCAATGGGTTTCACTTATTCTAAAAAGAGAAGTAGAAGTATTTTTTCTTTCTCGTAGCTGCCTGTATGGTCTTTCCCTTCTTCTACACTACTCGGAAATTTTACCTTTACGAGCTGTTATTCTTACTGTTAAATGGGGTATGTATTTGGTGAATTCCAAGGAATCTTGGTCTTCGCATTGAATTATCATAACTATCCCTAATGGAAAAAATGTTAGAAGTGTTCCTTTTCACAGGACGAGCTTGATAACCCTCTATTGAACCCTCCTCATTTACTCGGGCCTACGATCGACGGTAACTCTGTAGTTCTTTTAGAGTTACGGCCAGTCCCAAGCCCAGGTAAAGGAGGAGGGTTGGGCATGGGGTTGGCGTCCCCATCCCGTAGAAAACCAACTCGCTAAAAAAACGCTAACCAGAAAAATTTATTCAAACCATTTAAACCCTGTACTGACATTAGGAAGTTTATCATTTAGAAGAACTATGACGCCTCATGGTGAAAGCCGAGCTCCTTCGGAATCCATGAAGCCAATGCTCCTTCCAACAACCAGAGCAAAACTTTTCATAGGTGCATGGAACGTCCGGACAGTGCAGGAGACCGGTAAGACCAGTCAAATAGCAACGGAAATGAGGAGATACAACTTGGCAGTACTGGGAATCGGCGAAACCCATTGAAATCCAAACTGGACAACAAAGGCTGAATACGGGAGAAATGCTGCTATACTCAGGTCAAGAGAAGCAAATTGCTTCAATGCTATTCAAAGTAGCAAGGAATGCGTTTGGGTGATGGGAATCTCATGGATCCAGAATCATCAAAGCATCATTCAAAACAAAGAAGGAGGGAATTACAATGAATGTTATCCAATGTTATGCACCTACCAATGACAGCAACAACGACATTAAAGATCAATTCTACGAGAGGCTGCAATCAATCATAGAGAAGTGGCCAAGAAAGGACCTCGCCATTCTAATGGGAGATCTAAATGCCAAAGTCGGAATAGACAACACCGGGTATGAAGATATCATTGGACGGCATGAACTGGGTGAGATAAACGAAAATGGGGAAAGATTTGCAAATTTGTTTGCATTCAACAAATTGGTCATAGGAGGCACAATATTTCAACACAAACTTATACACAAAGCTATATGGATCTCACCGGACCACACTACAGAAAACTAGATAGATCATATTTGCATCAACAAAAAATTCCGAAGGACAATGGAAGATGTGAGAACCAGGAGAGGGGCTGACATAGCTTCAGATAACCACTAAGCTGTGGCCAAAGAAAAACTGGACAACTGGACAAACAGCACTACAAAGGTTCAATACAGACTTCCTTCGAGATACTGACAAACTCAATGAATTCAAGATAGCTCTCAACAACAGGTTCCAAGCCTTACAAGATCTACTGAAGGAAGAAGAGACTAGTATGGAGGACAACTGGAAAGGCATCAAGGAAGCACTAACTTTAACGTGTCAAGAGGTTCTGGGTCTAAAGAAATACCATCATAAGGAGTGGATCTCTAGAGAAACACTGGACAAGATCAAAGAAAGGGAGAACAAGAAGACAGCAATTAACAACAGCTGAACACAAGCAGAGAGAGTCCAAGCACAAGCTGAATACATAGAAGCAAACAAGCAAGTGAAGAAAAGCATTAGAACCGACAAGAAGAAGAACGTGGAAGAACTAGCAACGACGGCGGAAAAAGCTGATAGGGAAGGAAATATGAAACAACTTTACGATACAATGAAGAAACTATCAGGGAAATACAGTAAACCAGAGAGACCGGCCAAGGACAAAGAAGGCAGTCCAATCACTGAAATTCAACAACAGCGGAACAGATGGGTAGAATACTTCGAGGAACTCCTGAATAGGCCGGCTCCAATGAATCCACCGGACATCGAAGCGGCACACACTAATCTTCCCATAGACGTCAACCCACCAACGAAGGAAGAAATCAGAATGGCCGTCAGACAGATCAAGAACGGGAAAGCAGATGGACCGGACAACATACCAGCTGAAGCACTGAAGTCAGACATCAAAGTAACTACAAACATGCTTCACCTCCTATTCAAAAAGATTTGAGAGGAGGAACAAGTGCCGATGGACTGGAAAGAAGGACACCTCGTCAAGATTCCAAAGAAAGGAGATCTGAGCAAATGTGAAAACTACATAGGCATCACACTACTGTCAGTACCAGGGAAAGTCTTCAACAGAGTGTTGCTGAACCGGATGAAAGATGCAGTAGACGCTCAACTTCGAGATCAACAGTCTGGATTCCGTAAGGATTGGTCGTGCTCAGACCAAATCGCAACACTACGGATCATCGTCGAACAATCAGATGAGTGGAACTCGTCACTGTAGATCAACTTCATTGATTATGAAAAGGTGTTTGACAGTGTAGATAGGAGAACATTATGGAATCTTCTTCAACAGTATGTAGTTCCTGAGAAGATTGTCAACATTATCCGGAACTCATACGACGGACCACAGTACAAGGTCGTGCATGAAGGACAGCTGACAGACGCATTCCAAGTAAGGACCGGAGTCAGACAAGGCTGTCTACTCTCTCTATTCCCCTTTCTCTTAGTGGTCGACTGGATAATAAAGACCTCGGCATCTGAAGGAAAACACGGCGTACAATGGACAGCCCAGAACCAATTAGACGATTTGGACTTCGCAAATGACCTGGCCCTGCTATCGCATACGTACGAACAAATACAGATGAAGACAGCCAGTGTAGCATCAGTCTCTGCATCAGTATGTCTCAACATACACAAGAGGAAAACCAAGGTCCTCAAATACAACACGGGGAACAGCAGTTCAATCACTCTTGATGGTGAAACTCTGGAAGATGTAGAATCCTTCACATACTTGGGAAACATAATCGATTAACAAGGAGGTTCAGATGCAGATGTAAAGGCGAGGATTGGCAGAGCAATGGCCACATTCCTACAATTAAAGAACATATGGAACTCAAAACAACTTTCAACCAATATCAAAGTCAGAATCTTCAATGCGAACGTACGGAGCTGAAACTTGGAGAACTACAACAACCACCATCAAGAAGGTACACGTATTTATAAATAGCTGTCTTCGCAAGATACTCAACATCCATTGGCCGGATACCATAAGCAACAGCCTCTTGTGGGAGAGAACAAACCCGCTTCCAGCTGAAGAGGAAAATAGGACAGAACGATGGAATTGGATAGGACATACATTACGCAAATCATCAAAATGCATCACGAGACAAGCCCTAACTTGGAATCCTGAAGAGAGGCGGAAAAGAGGAAGGCCAAAGAACACATTACGTTGGAAAATAGAATGAGATATGAAAAGGATGAATAAGAACTGGAAAGAGTTGGAACTTATTATTCAAGACAGGGTTGGATGGAGACTGATGGTGTGTGGCCTATGCTCTTTCACGAGGAGTAACAGGCGTAAGTAAGTAAGTAAGGCCGACGGTGACCCTGGGCAGAATCTGAGTGATGTTATTAATGACTAGTAGGAAAGACATGATAAAGTGTGGAAATGTAAGACTTCTAGCCTGGCTGTTCAGATAGTACAAGTTGTTTATATGGTGTCGCCGTGTGATGATTGTGATACTATTTGACTTAGCTCCTCTGACCATCAGTGTTTTTTAAAAGCAGCATTGTTGAAGGCTTTTAATAAAATTTGCTTTGCAGGACTGTTTCCTGCTACATTTCAATTTTCAGCATCACTGTAAGTCTCAGTTCCAAACACGAGAATAATAAGAGACGTGTTGTACAGATATGCAGATATACTTTGTAGGGAATGGTGCTTGATATATGTTATTGATGAAGAGCATTCTCTGCTCGTTCCCTTGAACTGTTGGTTTTGCAGTGTATATTTAAGTGGTTTAATCAATTATCATGGACAGTAGTAATAAATCACCAAAGTAAACTATGACTAGATGAGAGCAACTGAACTGGAATACTGGTAGTGCTGGAACAATACCCGGAGTAAGCATTCTATTATTTGAGACTGACAATAGAATTAACAACAATCCTACCTAAACAGAATTAATCCTGGCATAAGAACATCTAGCAGCTGCATTGTAGTTGAAAATCAAGGATTGTATTAGAATAATTTAATCTACACTATAGTGAAATTAGTACAAACTCTCCAAAGTGTCATTTAGTCCACATATTTCAAATATTTACGAATTGGCATATTAGTAGATTATGATTAGCGGATAGACAGGTAGGTAATTAAATAAGGACTTATTATTATTATTCACATATAAATCATTCGAATTAATCCTACAAGTGAGTACGGGTCAAACAATAGAATTTATGTAACGTACTTGACCGTTACATGCTATCAGATGGTGCATTTTAAGGTGAGCATAAAGTTCTGTAGACTTATTATGTATGTATTAATTATGTGAGGTCAACGTGCAATTGAGTCGAGATCTTACGTCATTTGACAATCTACCCCAAACTGTTTATGTCTTATACCGCGGATTGTCATAGTCTGAATTTCTTAGGTTTTGGACGTTGATGAAGGTACATATCCGAGGAAGTAGAATAAATCAACTCGTACATCAGTATAGAATCAAAACTGGGGTTTGGACTGAAGAATAACTGTCTAGGTTTGTCCAGTTGAAACCAAAACAAGGCGATTGGGTAAATGACGGTTCTAGATTTCATTATAAATAAGGATGTATATCACTACCTAAACAAATACTACCACCCAGTTATTCAACCAGTAATTGTTCAATCAGTAGTCAAGTCTAAATTACAATAAATAAACAAGTTGATTAAGGATGTAAGGAAACTACCTATCCTGTCTGGATAGGTCACGTGCAGATCCGTTTGAAAGATAATATTTAGTTGCTATATAACACAGTGTTCCCAATTCTGAAAGTGTTTCAATTCACAATTCCAGTCAATACAAGCAACATAATCAAAGGGGGAACAAATCGATATGGCTGCCACCAAGACTAAGTATCAACTAAAACAACATGAATGCAGTTCAGGAAGAAACATAAAAATTCAGTGATGGCGGAGAAAAAATAAAAACTACAATAAACTGCGAATATTACCAAATCAAACAGAATCAAAAAGAGTAAGAAAATACACAACTGAGGGAATCTATAGGAATGAATTACAAGTGTATAAATGAAAGGATTTTCACACACAAAACCTTCAAAATGGATCTTACACATTAGGTGTGCAGACAATTACATTATTATCTTTATTAGAAACTTTTCCCGCCATAAAGTGTCTAAATCTGTCAGTGAAAGAGGTAGTTTCTCATTTAGATATTTCACTGACTAGAGCTTCCATCTTCAGAGAAAACTATCGAAGATATATTTGATAAGCTATCGATATATTGGGAAGTGATTAGTTTAAACTAGCTAGCGGTTGTAGGAGATGTGTAGCTGGGCATACCCACTCGTGATCTAGTGCGGATGCGTTACCGAGCGCCTTCAGCCAGGTGAGTTCAGTAAAACTAATGTGGTTAGCATCAAATGTCGAAGACTTACAGAGCTATTGAGTTTGGGGATTTATTTACTGCTACAAACGTATCACAGACATTCAAGCAGTTTGACTACAGATAGAATACGCCATGGGTTTCAAAAAATACCCAGTCAGAAACTATTTGAAAAGTCCATCAAAAAAATTTAGATGAATACCCTGTTTGTTTATTCCACGAAGATTTTTTCTGCTGAGAAACGTCATGACTCTAGCATTCAATATGTAACATTCCTTGAACATCGTGAAGGCCGATACATGTTAGAAAGAAAACAATTTACATAGGCTGAGAAGGTTTCTCATTCAAGATGCCCAAATAAACAAACCCTGGGGCTATATTATTTCTAGGTGATGATCCGAAATAAGTTATAGTTCACTGAATCCCAGTTATGCGAACGGTGCACAATCTCGAGTTTGTTTGGTATCAAAGGAACAAATGGAAACTTCAGATACATCTGAGTTCACCAAAATATCTGATGCGACAAAAGTGGTATCATGTTTAACTCACATAACTGTTAGATGATAATTGTCCTAATCCTTGTGGTGTTTTATAAAAGAATATATGCTTTCTAAACAATTGCGCGCATTACTTATTATTCAAATATCCCTTATTCAAATGAATCCTCACTATTTTCTGTCTTCATGATCCGGTCCACTTGAGGCTGCGAAAGCAGGTGTTTAATAGAACTGGAAATTCCCGTACGAATAAATACAATTAATAATACTGCTTATGAGAAACTTTTAGGCAAAAACAAGTTTTTTTGTTGTAACGTGTGGTATCCGCAAGCTGATGCTTATACTCTCTTTCTATACATAAATCCCGCTATTCTAGAAAAAAACGTGGTGTTTTTTAGTCTCTTTGGGCTAAACTGATTCACATGTATATACACTTGTTCATGTAAATAGGAGTGTCTTTAACTTAAAAGATCAGGCATGTCAGTGGTTAATGCTCCCTTTCCAAAGATAGCTATTCCTTGCCCAATCATCTGCACTTGTCCCTTGGCGATTTCTGATTGGTACAGTATATCAGTGTGTTTTGATTTGGCGATATCTGGCCGGCCTACTACATAACTTTAAACACTATCAGAGATTTCTGACTTTACTATTTATTGACAGTACACTATCTAGATCTTGGTTTTTTTTACTCAATGGACTCAACGAAAACCAATTCATTCTTTCGTTACAGTCATTCCCTTTCAACTTTTTTCCACGATTTAATGAGTGTATTTCGAATTTTAAAGTTATCAAGAAGAATAAAAATGACATGTGGTGTTCAAAGGTACAAACGAAGCTAACAGAATGATTTACTTTTTTAACAGGTGATTCAAACAATACAGCCTAAAACCCGCGAAGAGATGGAATTCATGGAGTTATCATAAATCTAAAGTGTAGGGTAAATATATATGAATACATATTTATCTAGCTAACATACAAGTTATTAGTTTGAGCAGTCATTGTTTAGATGAGTATGCAAAATAAATAGTTAGGCAAATTTATACTCACAATCATAATTACTCGTCTAAAGATATATATCATCATTGTCATCGAAAATTAATGTGAATAGACAGTGGGCCCATCAATGATAGTAATAACTACGTCCATAAAAGAAATACTAGATGGGCAGAGCTCCTTATGAAACATGATAAGTGGACCTACCTTTCGTCGGACGAAGTGAAACACAGAGTAAGATTTGGTTACATTTATCCAGTAGTTATCTCTGGTGCCCATGTTTTCCGTTATTAAAGGACTGAAATCCTGCTCCATCGAGTTGATGGAAGATAGATGCCGGATAAAAAAGCATGATATAGTTATTACTCTGAGGTTTCGTGACTCACATTGACACCTACACGTGGATTTAATTTAATTTTCCCAGATAAAATCAAACAGTATATGACTAATGAGTTCCAGTTGTTTTCGCAATGGGTCAACATATAGTTAGTCATGACCTGCGCATATACGATCTTTGTCAATATTTTTGTTAGTTTCACTGACCATGTTGCAATTAATTTTATCTGGTCATTTACTGATATTTTACAACATTCCTCTTCATGTATGTTCAACACAAATTTTTTGCTCAGGCAGATGTATTATGCACATATATTTATTGTATAAAGCGGGTAACTCTGTGCCCAAACTTATCAAACAAGCAGTTCATTGAGTTGGCGCATATCCAACTGTCAAGGGCGATGGGGGTTCGGACCCTTTGGCTTTTATGGTTGTGCCAACATTTCGTTTTTCGGTATCAATATCACTGTGATTTGATCGTTCGTTGTCGTGTTATGTGAGATTTACAGTTCGCCGCCAAACTCTAGAGTCGGTGAGAATACCCAACGAAAGTATGAAAACGTTTATTTTTATTATTGTTGTTTAGACAGTTGTAATTGACATCGTGCCAGTATTGCTGTTCCAGTGAATGAAAATGTTTTAGTTGTTGAGTGGACGAATTTCCTCATCATTGTTTGTTCACTAGTTCTGGTTCGGTAGTTGTGGATAATTAATTATACTGTATTTCATTCTTCACAAGGACGTCAACATTTGTTGACCTCTCAATCCTCTCTGGACATAACTGTTCGCGGCTCAATATGAATTTGGTCCTCGTAACGAGTAGTAACGTGATCTATTCTTAGTCAAACGTTGGATTTGATTTAATTTTAAGTTTAGGAATCTCACAGCAAATGGTTAATTACTGTCATCAGCTTGTTTTCGCTGAAATGTCTGAGTATGAGGGGAAACGGGAGCTTATGTTCAAAGGCTCTTTGAATAGCAATGTTAATGGTAATAATTCATTTTTGAGTGATGGTGTAGAGTAAGAGTGACATAAATGTTAGATTAGGTTCTGTGAGTGACTCGAAGAGATCGTATTTTAGACTGCCCGAGCATGCTCAAAAGCCTTTTAGTGGTGATCCGGCAGACTAACCTAGGTTTACCATAAGGGTTGAAGTGCACTTAGCAGACAACAGACTGTCAAACGGAGTTTTATTCATGTGCTTAGTGAGACAGTGCACTGAAGTAACCACATGAGCAATTAAATGCTGCAAGTTCTTACCAGCCATCGAAGCGCATAATGAGGCGATGATATTGAAGCAAAGAATGGGTGAACCGTTTGTGGTCGAAAGTAGAACCTTGAAGCTGTTAAGGGCAACTATAGGTGGATTGACGACTAACCTAAGGAAGTGACAGAATTCTCGGGCATCTTGCTAGCCTATAGTAATACTTGGCTATCTATGGATATGAGTCATGTACTAGAGTTTTTGTGGGCCATTATGTGACTCCGAGTTGAGTGAGTGATTATAGTTATCGAATGAAAATATCGAAATGTATTTAGTTTCGGTCACTATGCTAAGTTCACACGGCTTATTCTAGCTTTCGAATTTGAGTCACATTTTGACCCTGTTAATTATTCGTTTATCAACCTTGATTGTTTTTATGTATGTGTATTTCCTATCTTTGTCTGACTATAAATGCCGACTAACGATTAATTGAATGGAGTGGGCTCACTTGCCTTCTCCATTGCGCGCCATTTTGTTTTTCTTTGCTTCCCGATCAATTATTGTACGAAATATACGTATTCAAAAGTCTATTTTTGAATTTGACTTATCTAATTCCGTTATTCACCTGTAGCGTGGTGTCGAGTGGAGATTGACTATGAACACCGCTACCAACAAACGAGTGCCAAATGACTCCATAAAATCCCAGAGAAGCCAAATATCAGAAGGCAGTTAATGGACCAAGTCGAGATATATTTGCTGGCGATCTCGTGGTATCGAAAGGATACCGAGATCATGCCAGGACACAAGCTTGGTTACAGAATGTAACCAAATTCGCGCGAAGTCACAATCAAAGTGTAAGAATAATGGACGTTTTTAGCACAGTTAAACAAAAGCACATTAAAAGTTACTGGTACAATTGGTTATAATAATAATTGTTTTCAATAAACGAATCGTGTTCTCGTGATAAAAGTGAGTCACTACACACCAACGCGATCAAGGTCGAGTATTATATATGGGGATAGCCAGGATGTATTTTTAATGGCCCGGACCTGACTCCAGTTCGACCGTGTGATTATCGTTATCGAATGATTACTGTCGAAGTGTAGTCAGACACCACAAAATCCATGTCTGCATTGGAGGCATTGAACAAACGTCTCTCTACCCCATTACAAAGAACATGGATACAGATCAGTGCTTCTATGGACGAGGAATTTGGAGAGCCGAAACATCCTAGAATTAGTTTATCGTGACATAAATCAGTCCCTAAGTAGATTTTGCAGTATAGTGTATAACAGATCAGGCCTAAATCAGTTGACTGCTCAATAGTCAGTATTGGTTGCAGAAGCCATTTACGTAGTGAATTAGAAAATCGAGTGAGAATTCTGCATCGAACAACATTATGTGTAGGTTTATGACAAGCTTTGCAGATTACCTGTGCAACGAAGAATGAGGTCAGTATAATGTTTCGAATTATTTGAATTATAGTATGAACTAAGAATTCCCGAAATAACGCAATTGAATCAAAAAGTACGACACAAGCATGAACGAATGTATTGTATTTAGAATTTGAAATCGAGCATTCAAAACGTACAAAACAAGCATTAGTTAATTCGAACACCACAGTCTGCGAGAAAATACCTATCTTCTAAGTGTTTGAAAGTTGAACACACAAAGGGACGATGTATCGTACATGAGAAATAAATCTACCCGTTGTTGGGGTCTCGGGGTGAAGGGGCCAATAAAATACAGTTCAACTGCTTAGAGATGCCTAGTACAGAGAAGACCTACTTTGTTATCATTTTGGTTAGGATTCATGAGCCCTTATTATTTGAGGAGGTATATGCACTATTGGATGACAGGTTTAATGTATCATTAATCGATGCTGGGTTAACTCGTTGGTTGAGACTTGAGTGTGAAGAAAATGACTTGTCAGTTAATGTGATGAACTGTTCAATGAGTGGCGGTGTGCAAGAGTGTCATTTAATTTAGGCTCTTTAGTACAAGACAAGATGATTCACGTTCCCATAGCCTATATAACGTCATACTTGAGATTGGGAGAGGTATAATCGCCAGCTGACCCCGTACTGTCAAAAATGCCCGATTTGACCGAGATGTGCATTCCAAAATTGCTGAATGAAAGATTCAAGGTTCTTAGTGGGTGTAATATCTTCGAGGTTCATCAAGTTATAGGATAGCTATTTATAGGTAATAATGAGTTAAATGAAACAAAAACACCTTAGGGTAAGCAGAATACACCCATTAGAATACTAAATAAGAACTAATTTTTCTCATTTACCTGGGAGTAATCAAACAGACGTGCGGTTATAACCAGCAAAGGCCCTAGTAACCTCTTTAAGGTTATCTCATCTGGAGTTGAGTGCAGCCGCTCTAAGGGTTATGGTGTACGTGACAATGACCGTGGAATATGATTGCGCAACATTGAGGACTAGTTGTTGGACGGACACTGTGACGGTAATATATAACCTGAGAAATGAGTCAACCCATTACACTTCCTTTGTTGTCAGCAGAATAGAACTACAACCGACGTTCGTTTACTACTCCAGTTGGTGTAAGCTACTGGAAAGCGTTGGACGGTTAATGCGACTCATCAGATATCTGAAGATAATGTATATTTCGAATAACGTTGGAAGTATAGATGTGTGTCCATTAGAGGTTGACAAACTAAGAAATTCAGAAAGATCCTTCATTAGGGCTACTCAGTGAGAGGGTATTCAGACCTTAAAATACTAAATGAACGACTGAATCCAATAATCGTGGGGGAAGTGGTCAGAGTAGAATAGCGTAATTACTCCAGAGACATGTCCACAGAACTATGGCACCTGGCATCCCTGCCTATTTATCATTCAGTTTCGCCCCTAATAATTGTTTATCGTTGAGCTACTGAAGTATTACTAGGCTCCAATCAGGTGCAAGCAATCATTCGAACTAGACATTAGATTCTCAAGGGGGAATCAGTAGTACCAAATGTGATCAATAAATGTGCGGAATGTAGAAGAAACGTCCGCAAAGAGCAACAGATGATGGCATGCATCCTAGTATGGAGATTGGAAATAGATAGTTATCTATTTGATTGAGTTGGAGTTAGTTTGTTTGAACCTTTTGTAGTTAAAAGAGGGAGAGGCATTTTTAAGCGATACGGATGTTTATTTGTCTAAAGACGAGGGCTGTGCAGATTGATCTGGTTCACTCCATATCCACTAACGCCTTCTTATTGGACCTTTTTAAATTCATAAACCGAAGGGGTAACATCAAGGTAATGTTTGGTGATAGAGCGAAAAATTCAGTAGGTAGTCAGTTGGAGCTGATTAAGAAATCAAAAAACTCAGAAGGAGGAACACGTGAGGACCTGCTACGTCGAGATATGGAGTCGAGGCTTATTCCTTCTCAGCCTAATCATCGTGGTTTGTGGGGAAGATTCATAACAATAGGAAAGTGACTACTAAGTGCCATAACTAAGAAACAGTGTTCAACAGACGAAATGTTAGAGACGTTCCTGAGTCAAACCTTAAGAGTCTTGAATGATAAATTATGTTAGAGACTTGAAGTTTATAACACCAAATAGATCATTTTTACTTAGAAGCGACGGAAGTTCGCCTGGATGTAACTCTCAACCTGACTGAATCGTCAACATATGGAGATAGGCAAAACGTTTTACAGGTGTGTTTCGAAGGGGATGGTCCAAGTAGTGTATAACCATTCTACTGGTTCAAGACAAATGGGAAAGCCATAGAAAGAACTTCCAGGGTGGAGATTGTACTTATAACTCACAAGCCAGCTTCAAGTAGCTGATCATTTGGTGTAGTACAAACACTAATGAGGATGGACTTGTAAGAACTATAGGCATGAAGATTAAGAATGACTTATCAGAAATGTCGAAAACTTTTATTAACCAAGGTGTTCAGATGAAAATCAACAAGAAGACTGAGAGTCAAACAACTTCCCAACCTAGCAAGAGTATTAAGTATGATAGAGCACAACGTGATTTAGAATGATTTCGCGCACTATAGTGATGCACGAAGCAATTATATGTTGCCCACAAACATGTATATACACTACGCTATAATCCCTTATATATTAATAATGGTAGTTTTAAGCCATCATGTTCCTCCGGGTGGCGTCACCAATGGTCTGTGCTCAACGAAGTCTGTTGACTAACCAACAAGAAGCTGTTCACTTGTCACTCGTTTAATTAATTAATTGTTATTTAATTATTGCCTAATCGTTACTTAGTTTGTTGAGTTGTTTTAAGTCATGTACTATCATTGGGTTAATAGTGTCGCATAATTACAAATCGGTTAAAACCATCCGCGTATAAGCTGTATCGAGAGGTGGTCTTGTGGTGTGAGCTACTTATATTGATATAAGTAGTATACAACGTGCGTTAAAAGAACGTAATGTCTGGCAGCGGAAGATGGCGAAGAACAAGAAAGGTAGAGCGAGAACACAATGGAATTTGTAAGAAAATGCATGAACAATGGAATGGGAGACAATGGATTGGTGTTTGCAACAGAAACAGTCCAGTTTGGTGTGATGCATGAATATTTTGCAAATTGACGATTTACTATATGGTATTCAGATTTTGTTGAGACAGACTGTAATTGATATGCTTAGTACATCCGTTCGTCCCCACTTGCGTTATTGTTCACTACAGTCTGACAGTGAAGAGTACCTAATAATGAGCCAAACAGCCATCATGTAACCTCAGCTTACGAGTTAGCGTCCGTAAACAGTGAATAAGAGGAGAGGCAGTAACCTATTGAGTGTTTGAAATCAATCGTAACGTACTTTATTCTTCAGATTAACCAGGAAAGGTGACCTTGGTAGTGACAATAAGAGTTGATAAATTCAAACACATATCCCATTCACATAATTGTTCCTGCTTAATTTATCAGATATGTATGTATTTATAAATATTTTTATTTATTACCAATACTATGAGATTTATTTTAATCCATTCTGAAGTGAAAATAAAATTTAAGATAATTACCAACTTGTAAGTTAGTAAAGAGAAAACAAATCATATTTATAATTTTCAAATATATTTTTGTAATTAAATAACATTCAATCATCCCGTTTGAGAAGGCAAAAAAGGAATAGAGATGCAAAACAAAGTGAAACTGTGGTATATAGGGAAAAATAAGTGAACTTTAAATAATTTCAAATGTCTGCGTCTATTTACAAATTAGTCTGAGAATAAACTGTATCCAAAAAACAGGATTGAAAGATTGAAAATGCGATACAAACTTAATTACCATACTTTTCTTTGTAAGTAGGCTGATATTACAGTATTTGACTAATGAGATGTATAGTCAAACTTTCAATTAAATCAGTTAAAAATCAAAGAAAACCGATAGGGTTATGATAATTAAAATTGGTTAAAATAACTGAATGAGAGTGTTGTGTAACCTGATAAACTTTTTCAAATCAGAAATTATGAAAATTTGGTGGATTATAACAAACAGTTTGTTTACCATACTATATATTCAGATTTTAATTTCCTAACATGGCATTAGAATAAGCACACATATATAAAAGAGTTATACATTTTACTTTGTTGTTTGTTTCGAATCGGATCTAGATAACTGATGAAATTAAGTCATATGGCTTCCGGCTTTTGTTTACAATCTTATTTATCTTTCATATCGTTCTGTTATCAATTAAGAAAACATGATCTGGTCATAACTGTAGTTTACATAGGGTGTGGTCAAACAATGTCACTAGGCCTCAACTAGTTAATATGATACATGCATATCGTTTCACTAAACTATATAAAGAAAATACTATATTAACAATTTTTTTCAAAAGTACAAGAATTAAGTTCCATATAAATCCATGTACTGTGAATGATTCTAATCATAGTTATTGTAAACATTAACAGAAATAATCTTGAGTAAAAGAAAAGGATAACTAGTACAGATTGTTTAAATTGGTTTGATACAAGTACTATTTTTGAGGCAAGTATGAATGTATATTTATAAAGTTGTTAACACCTGAAATCATATCTGTTGATCAGTTTTGCTAATATTATATGCAATAAATAAATAGATATGTATGCTGTCCTGTTAATATATATATACAATAAAGTGTTCATAAATTTAACATATCAAATCTTTATTAGTTAATGTTGTATATCATGTAGTTGTTGATTGAAAAGATTTTGACGAGTAATTAAATCGATTAATTGATTTTGTACTATAATATTATCATGAACGTTATTTTGTGTAAAATGTTGATTATGCTGGGGGATTGAGTTACGATTATGATTTGAATTGAAATGTTGTTGCTGTTGGTGTTTCATGTGTAAATTTAATGTTGCCGCAGCTGCAGCATTTGACATAGCTGCTGATAAAGTTTGTGTATCATTCATAAGGAATGGGGATAATATAGAAGTATCTACACATCGATTTATATCATTATTTATTGACTGTGTTGTCTTTATGTAGGGTAAGGTTGTCATCAGAAGTGGTAAATGATTATTATTACTACTATTATTATTAATGTTGTTGTCTGTATTGATAGTATTCGTATTGTTGTGTTCCATTTCATTTAACCGGGTAATTACGTTAGCATTACTGGCATTGTTTATAAATCCATTTGGTAATGGCGGTAAAGGAATAGTTGGTGGTGAGTGTGTTGGAAGAATTCGTGGTAAATCATAAGTTTGTGAATCTGAATATCCTGTAGATGTTTGAAAATCACCGGTACTATTAATTGGTTCATATGTTGGTGTCATATATGGTAAATGTTTCATTCCATTAAATTCATTTACAAGTGTTCCATTCCCAGTAATAAAATTGTTTGCTGTATAGGAATTTACTAGTGTATTTGGTACAGGATTGAGAGAATATGACACATTATTATTATTATTACTGGGATTAATACCACTATCGTTATTATTATTGGATGAATTGCTCAATAAATGGTTACTAGTAGATGAATGTGGAGGTGATTTTAAATTTTCTGATGCTGGTGAAAAATTTCGATAAGAATTTTCTGAAGTAGTATGATGTAATAAAATTTTTGAACGAACTTTATACCGACTACGTTTATGAATTCGTAACAAACAACATCCAAATATAAAAAGTGCTAATGTTACAGTAAATGTTCCAACAACTGCACCAATCATTTCAAGTACAGAGAATTGTTTCTGTAATGGTAAATTTTAATAAATGAAAATTATATTCCCATAACTCATAATATTTGTGATTACAATAAACATACTTGTATTAATTTCGATTATTCTAATAGTAAATTTGTCTTATAAATATTATCAGAAAGGGTTTGTGGAGATTTTTAGAAATTTTCACAGATTGAAATCATGAGTCAGTTGAAGCTAGACCACCATTGAAAACCTGGAAGCACTGGACGGCCGTTTCGTCCTAGTATGGGACTCCTCAGCAGTGCGCATCCACGGCCCCGCACCACGCGGGGCTCGAACCCAGGACCTACTGGCTTCGCGCGCGAGCACTTAACCACTAGACAAATTTTACCACGTATGTTGGTTAGTCCAGTAACAATCACTATAATCACCAGAATTATTCAAACTATGTAATAGCATCATTCGAAATCTAAAGCACAAAAATCTTTACTCTAATCAACGAATATAATTCCGCACTATGAAGTCACCTATTATATCTATAAGTATATGAATATTTAACCAATCTCATTAATACTAATAAGACATTATTTTCGTTAAAGTACCTATATATAAAATAATTAGCTCTATGAGATTAGTTTATTTTTTACTTTAGACAGAGAATTATGAAAGTATGAGAGAAGTTACCGTAAGTACTATATCCGAACAAAGACCAAAGGAACGGTAACTTGCAGGACTAATTTATGAATTATTATTAAATATATAGTCTTATAGTGTAATTAATAAGTAACTAGATCATTACACTTATTCTTCTTATCATAAGATTTCGATTAACCCATTAACTGTTGCTGTATGGTTAACTATTCTTAACCTGACGACAGTTTTATTATTAACAGTTTCTTCTGCTCACATCCACCTTTTGGATCGATACTATATAGTTCTTACTTTTTATTTTATGATGTGATATGATATGGTCTTGTATGTATATAAATGAATGTTTGAAATAAAATAACGATCCTGAACTGGTCATTGTTGGTCTCGTATTCTTCCTCTTTGCTAATTAATATTGGGCTAACCGTCAGGTGTAGAATATCACTTTTCTCATTCTTGTTGGGTTTCGGTCGATGTTAGGACATAAATTGGCAACAGAGATGGGATTCAAACCCAACCATAGAAACGCAAATGAACAAATAACAGCGAGTACATGATTTTAAAAATGCATCAATAATCTATAAGTCGTATAAACATACATCTTTTCAAGAGTAAAACAAGAAATCCACTTTGAAAGAAAACCTTAGCAGTTTTTCTGTAAATAAGCTACTTACAATACTATTGTGAACTGGAAATGTGATAAAAGTTTAACTCGAAAATCTGGATGACCAACTAGTAGGAAAGAATATCAGGAAATACTTAGATGCATGAAATGGTGGTAAGAGACAATAGAATTAGAATTGGTCACATAAGATGAACTCACCATGATAAACTTAAGAATGAAACAGGATATTTATTGGTGACATTAATCAATGTTTATAGTTTAGTAGTCAACTACTGACTTTTCGTGCCGATTGAGATATCACAACCGTTAATAAAATGTTGATTTACGTAAGTGGGATTAATTAGCTTTTTGAGTAATAAATACTTCAGTATAGATGACAAAACTGCAGTGTACTGATCATGTTAAAGGATGCACACCATTTTACTACCAAAATACCTTTTAATTTGAATCCAGTTTATGTTTGTCAGTATTCCTTATTCAAGAGTTACAAAACAGGAAGAGGCTTTCCAAGTTTATTATGGTTTTCTGACTGATAAATAAATATTGACTCAATATTAGACATGTATGATGTAAATTTATTATTCTATTGAACCATTTAATTCTATATGTATATAATGTTTTGCATTATTATTCCTTTAAGCAAGGATTATCAATGAGTTTATTAATTTTAATACGTATGTATATAAGCATCGTTAAGAAAAATCTTTACCGAATGGATGTGCAGCTAATTAGTGTTAGGATCTGTAAATTTTAGCCTTAAGAATAATCTGTAAAATCACGTTGGTTTGAAAACTGCTGAATGTAACTAGAGAGCGTTGGCTCATCTCTTACCACTTATCATGTTTTCTTGCAAAGAAGGATACCCATTTTCATATTAATTAAGAAATGTGTCATATCACTGATTAAAAAGTTTTTAAAAACACATAACTCTATTTACCTGAAACAACATATTTTCTGGATCATCTTGTAAAACTGTATACCAACCAGGTGTAATTTCATAGTTACCTGTAGAACGATCATTGGTTATTCTTGTTTTGTCTGTGTATATAATATTCTCATTAATATCACTAGATAATCTGGGATGATTTTGAACTTTAGTTTGTAAACTATCAAAATTATCTGATATCATTCGTAAACTTTCAATAGTTGGCCAATGGAAAACTATTTCAGCACTTGTATTTCCATTAGAATCAGTGGCAAAACAGATCAATTTTTCAGTTGCTGATACTGTAGACTGATTATCCGACTGCTTCAATGAATTATCGTCTTTTAAGTTTATTTTTCGACTCAATTTTAATTCGATTCCACCAGACCTGAGTATTTTTGAATTTGGAATACGAATAAGTTGTTGTTGATTTGGATGATGTTGAGTTCGTGTAAATGAGTATGACTGAGTATTTGTTATTTGGTCACGATTACTATTGTTATCATGATTAATTGGACGATACCAGTCCAACTGAAGTTCTGGTGAACCTTTAACATGACATCTGACAGTTATAATTAAAGAATTATCACTTTCTTGTTCGAACTTTCCTGATGTTAACTTTTTGTTGTTATTTTGATTGTGATAAAAAGTTGTTAATTGACCTAAGTCAACTTCAATAACTTGAAGTTTTGGTGTACCACAGTAAAAATCTGATGCAGTTAGTGATTCAATACTTCGTCCGATTAGTCGTCTTGGATTATGACATAATGGTTTTAATAAATCCCCATCTAGTGGTGTGTTATGTTGATTCATTTCCATTAAACTATTTGACTTATGTAATAAATTTGTTTCAACATCATCGATATCTCCATTAAACATTGACAGACCTCGTGTACGCCGTTGTACTTGTCGTCTGTTCAATACAGACACAAGCCAACTTAATTTGCAATCACAATAAAAAGGATTTTGTTCCAGTGACAAACTTTGCAAATGAAGGAAAATAGGTTCTAGACGACTTTCTAGAGTTATTAACTGATTTCCAGATAAATGTAAATTTTTGAGTTGTTTACTATTTATCAATGGCAAAAGAACATTGTAACTCAATATTTTAAGACCACATTGATTCATAGATAACGACACAATAGAAGTATCTTGAAAAGCACCGTCTTCAATACTTAAACCAAAATTTTCATCTAGACGTAAAAAATCCAAGTGCAATCCTTCGAAAGTCCCTTCTAAGATTGTTTTGATTCGATTTTGAGATAAATCTAATTGTTGCAAACCTTTCAATGATTGGAATGTACGTGGCTGAATTGACTGGATACCACAATTACGCAGAGTAAGACGTTGTAGCTTAACGTTTTGTTGAATATATATGGAAAAGTTATCGCTGGTTAGAGTTGGATTATTAAACTTATGACCCATCATTATCATGGACTGAATGTCGGAACTAAGACGATCTGGTAAATGTGTAAGTCCACCTTCTTGACAAGATAGCGATCCAGCAATGCAACCACTGCATGTTTTGTTTAAGCATAGGTCGTTGGAATTCAAACTTGAAATTGTTTGAAATATACTTTGCAAAATGACGAAAAACAAAAGAAATAGGTTGTAGTCCATTTTTCAAGTTAATTTACTGAATAATTGTTAAAGTCATCTCGTTGTCACTGAGTACGCGATGTATTGTTTTGTTGCTACAACTTGATTGATGGGTTCTATATTAACTACATAAAGAAAATGATTACATCTATTAACGGGAATAATTAAAACATACTTCGTTTTCTAACAATTAAAAATTGGAATACATAGAGTTATTTTTCGCTAGATTATTCCTTTTTTTATGGTTTTATCAAATGAATAGTAGTGTAGTTATTGAATTAACATAAAAATTCACTGGTTCTGGTGAATTTAAATAAGTTGGGTAGTGAATAATAGCTATTGCTATGAAAAAACTGGTGAGGCCAAGTCACGTGGATAATAACGATGTTATTATCAGTGATATTACTTTCTGACAAAAAATATCTATTCATGTTACCAATTTAAGGAATAGTGAATCTGAGAGTTCAAAAACGAATTAGTTAAGTAAGAGAGTTTAAAGACATTGTTTCTACCACAGAATTATATCTTCTAACATACCAGACAGCACTTAATTAGGGTTTCTTTCACATGGTGCTTATTGCACAAAATTACTAATTGAAATCACTCGATTTTTGACCAAACAACATTGTCAAACCTTCCCATAAGCCGAATATATGTATCAACTAAGCATGTTTAATAATGTATGCTATTCTTTAACAAATATTGGCATTCATAGTGTACCTATTGCAATATTTCAGTCTATCACATATAATTGTTCAAACATTATATACTAATCCACGGATCAACGGCTAATTTTCAGTCACTAGGAGAAAGTCTTACGTAATCAAAGGTTTCTCTTCTCATTCACTGTGCATTTAGTAGCTAAAAGGTATTTGGTATTTTTGGGAGTAAATGATACATGAGATTTTGATCTAAAATAAAATATGGTTGCATAATTTGAATACACAGGTAAAATTTAATTTATTATTAGTTGTATAAGTATACTTACTGCAACATGTATTATGTTGTAATAAACAAACAAACTTAACAGTAAGTCAGTGTATTCAGTTGGTCTGGCTAAATAGTAAAGCTTTTGTCGATAGTAATGAAAAAATCATATACTTAGATCAGTATTCATAACTGTTACACAGATAGTATAAATAACAGACGAGCATTTGTAATAGATTTTTTTATGATCAGACTACAACTGCCGGGAAACGTTTCCATTGGCTATCAATAGTTGAATTTCTAGTTTACATGATTATTTAGGATGTTATTTAACTTATCCTACAGTAAATAAATTAGAAATGTGTAGCATAATTAATGTTTACCTGATCACCCTACACTTTTTTCGGTGAGTACCTTTCTCACTTTGAAAAAGCATTTCCAGAATTCTAGTGAGAAGCCGTAACCAGTAGAGCTAAAGTGTGTCGAGTATGAAGAGGATACCCATCGAAGAAAATGAAGGATAGATACACAATATTGTGGTTTGGTTGAAGTTAGATTTGTACATAGTTGGATACCGGATCACTGATCTAGAGGTTAAGCATTTGTATGCGAGACCGATGGTTTTTAGGTTTTATTCCAGGTTACAGGGTCGTAAATGTGCACTTCTGTGCTAGGACGAAACGGTCACCCAGTACTTCAAGGTTTTCATTGATTGTCTAACTTAAATCAGTTTGTGATTTCAATACAATCTCGATAGTAAGCATTCTCAGTTTAATTAAACTGAATACACTTTCACGGTGTTAGTTTTCTTTAAGAAGCAAAAGCATTAGTCAGCTATCAACTTGACAAGTATTGATCTGTGTAATCAGTGAATATGATATAGTTAAAAACGAGTAACAAACATATCTGAGTGACATTAATATATTTACTTGAATATTGAAGTAAGTCATGATAGTAATCGGAAAAAGCAATACAGAGATTAGTCAATTTAAAAGTTTTATACAGTTAGACTATAGACTATACTCGAATCTTCAACTTAAGTACTCGTACAAATCGAACTATAGTAGAATCGTTATTGTTCGTTTTATCTAATCTGCTTGATATTAGTAGTTCGTGAGGTAAATATCCTCCTTTTTTTTAAAAAAAAACTAGTTATTTTCAATATACAAATAAGAGAAACTTGTATTTGATTATGGAGAGTTAACATGCTAAAACTATTGAAACACTTTAGAATTTACCTAAACTGATATCTTAATGAATAGCTTTCTGTAATATACCATTTAACCTTTATTCATATTTAATCGCATACAATTTAACTAAATAATAGAAACAATAGTTTTACATGTATTTACACAATTATAAGCATATACATACAAACTGTTTGATCAGTCTTGTTCATCGTCTACTGATGATAAACGGCAATTCTATTTTAATAATAAAGAAAAATGATTTCAAAGTAAGCAGATGACAGTGTAGAAAAAAAATTTTTTTTGTTAAAATGAATTAAATGAATTAAAACATATGAGTCAATGTAAAATAATCAGTCAACCATAAATCTACAAATATAAATGTGAAAATTTGCATTTAGATTGAAAATTAAATTTTTACAAGAATGAAATGTTGACAAAACTTTAGTACTAACTATAGATTGTTTATAGTAAAGTAGACAAATGAGAAACAAAAAAAAAACTATACTGATTTGTTTATTAAATAAGTGACATGATAAGAACTATAGACATTGAATTCAATTCACTTTTTTTTTAATAATAATTAGAATGTTTAATTAAAACAAATGATCGTGAATAAATCATACTGTAATATGTGCTACTGATGTTAACAGATATAAGTAGTATGTATGATTCATTGAAAGTAAAATATCTGAAGGTTGAAGGTTAAGAATGCTAGGGTTGAAGTTATCACGAGTTCACTTAATCTGCGAACGAGAAACAAGACTCAGTGACCAAAAACCAGTAAGCTAGCTATTGATACATCCCAGCCCCGCTGACTAGAGGGAGAAGTCTAAGCTTGGAATGGGGAAGTATATTCTACAAACAGACAGAAACGAGTGATAACAACAAACACAATTCAAAACGTATATATACAGTACAAAACCGTCCTTGGGGAGAGTTACCAAATAGCATACTAAGAGACGCAACGGACCAATAGCATTTAAGATATTTCCCAGTGGAAAATACGCCATGAAGGTGCACCTTTGGTGCGAAAATAAAGAAATTCAAAATTTCTAAATAAAATTACAAAATTAGGTCCTTTCCCAAGTGAGTTCTGGGAGTCTAACGTCCCCAACAAAGAAGATCAAAGAAAAGAGAACGAGAATAAAGAATGATTAGTGTCGACAGACATAAGTAGTATGTAACACTGATCAGAAGTGGAAGGCCTGATAGCGGAAGGTTGATAAGATTAAATTGAAAGGAACAGGAATGTAAGCAGGGAGTTATTGAAAATAACAGAAGGAATGAAGGAACGACAAAGGTTGTCAGGGATAACTAATAGAAGATGTGAAAATGAAGTATTCAATGTATGGTTTTCATAATTTACGAAGACGCTTTGTAATTTTACAGCCAATAATAAGTTGATCTTCCCTACCTGAGTTTTCATTCATTACAGTTATACTAGATCAACAATAATCAATATCAACATTTAAATTTTGAGTATGAGAGTTATACAGCAAAATGGACGACAACTGTGCAGTATCGTGAAATGACTGAAGTTAGACTTTAAATTTTGATTAGAAATGTTTTATTTACTACAGATTGTTGACTAAACCAAACCTTAATACGCTAGTTATTAAAATCATTTGTTAGCAAAAAAAAATTATATAATCTAGTAATTTAGTTATATTTATTAATCATCAGTCTTATGATAACGCAAATTGTTTTATACATTAAGTTTTTAGTTGTATTAATGTCATGTACTTTTCAATTTAACCTATTTGAAATCTGACTATTAATTAGTATGAGCAAAACATAAAATCAGCATATTCAGATAAAGTTTTTTATCTCATCCATTTATTCTCATCTAACGTCTTTACATTTTCTTTACATTGAGTCACATCCGTTTTGTTCAGTTATAATATTATTTAAGAGTTCATAACTGCTTTACTTATAATGCTATTTATCCGAAAAATGGGATTGCTAAAATGATTTCGTTTTTTGAATGACTGCAATATTGGTAAGCTGTCTTAGTGTAGTTTGCAATAAAACGGCAGTAAACATTAAAAACCAATAAGGGATTGAACCAAAAACTATATTACCATTTGGTTACTGGACATGTATATCAGCACCTTATTAGGAAACTACGTTCAACTTCTCTCTGTATTCATTGACACAGATACATGCAGACCAATAAATACAATAATAGAGATTGTGTTGATACATAGATCCTGTTTTCTTAAGATGAGTTAATACAACATGTCCTCATTGTATGAATTCAGTTCTTTGAAAAAGAAGATAGAATGTGTTTTGTGTTTAAATAGCTTTTTAAATGGGTTTTTTAACTTAAAATACACCTTATTGAACAGATATCTTTATAAGTGTCTTCCAGAAACTAGGGTTTGTCTCACTCAAGTAGGTATAAATAGGTGATATTACCGAGGCGTTTGCAAGTCGACTAAAGAGTATACTTAAACGACAGCTCACAGTCTTTTTTATTTTGTTTGTTAGTTTGATGCGACGTAACTTATGTGAATAACGTAACGGCATGATGATTATCGGCAAATTTCTGAAGAAAACATTATCTTTCCTTGTGAATATTATGATCAGATGATGACTGATTTTTATAAATCTATCAACATAAACAATTATTTTACTCCCTAGCTTACAGTATTAAGGTGAACAACCATCCCATTCAATGTCATTGTCACATAGTTTTTAATTCATAAACCGAATAGCACCGGTCATTGGTAAGCAACTGCAAAATGGACAGTAACCATAAATAAAATTACACAGATACTTTCGAAAATACAGACTGTTAAATATTTAGTATGGTAAAAATTGCTATAATCTAGTGAAAACATATCCAGTGAACTACCATATATGATAAGTGTTGAGTTAACAACTGAAACACCACTTTCAGTCAATAAGCAACAGACTTGAAATCCATTTTCCCTACTTCTGTTTATGTAACTTAGTAGCAACATTGGACCTGAAACACACAAAAATCTAATACTCAGTCGAGTACA